TTTTGGAGATGGGAACATTTAAAAATGAAAGTCGTGGGTTTGTTTACAATTGCACTTTACGTCATCTGATATTCGTGTTATTGAACATTCAGGATTTTAGTGACTACATACCTGTTTCGGAAAATTTATACATACGAATATTAAAGAGTTATAAGAGAACTGTTTTTAGAAATGAAATTAGAGCTACGTGTTAGGTATGTTTAAATTCGGAGAGAATTTGAATTTTTAAGTCAAATATGTTGGGAGGTTTGCTTCTACAGATCTATTGTGTTGCCTCCATGGTTTCAGAGCATTTCTCTAAGCCAATCTTTCTCTGTAATTTGTGGTATTGAAAATACATTATAGAGTTTTATTTCTTCATCCGTTATAAGATGATCAAATTGCAGACCACCAAATGGGTGCAGAACGAATTCCAAGCATGTGTTTTGAAGTCCTATTCTCTTTCCTGTAAAAGTTACAAGTTCAGTTAGAGTAAGTTCCCAGTTTTGTTAAGCGATAGCTGTCAATGTTCCTGTAATAACTTTTAAATTAGTTTTATGTACTACTACTACTATTGTAAACTTTCCTCAGTGAGAAATAGGTCCTCAATAATTCTTTTAAATCTGACTCTATTTGGCGCTTCTCTATAGATGTTGCTCCATGTAAATTGTACTTCAACTAGCTCACTTTCGACCGTTCTTCTCCACGTTTTCGCAGGCGCACCAGGTCTTTAGCTACCTTTTGAATTTCATGCCAATGCTTGCCTCGCTATGTAATTTCTCGGTTGTCTAAGTGTATAAGTCTATCCACTTCCATTTTCACGTTTTTATCTTAGTTTGTTCTGCTTTTTGATTCGTTGGTTCAACGGGCGCTCCTTTGATATTCTATCTGGCCATCATATTTTAAGAATTCTACTTAGATACTTGTTGACACTTTTATTTAGTCACATGCAATCAATCGTTTTAGGTTGAAAGTCTCCATTAGCGATTTCGAATGTAATACTCTATTAAATTATTAGCTTGCTTGGATTATTCATTTCTTTCCGAATAGGTGAAAAAAAATTATATCTACACAAGCTATAAAAAGTTCTAGACCTACAAGCAACGAAACCACCTCTGTGACTCACAACCCAGAAAATCCATTTCTCATTGTTTTGACTAAGAATATTGAGCTTCTCAAGACACATCATTACTAGACTTCATATTACCTGTTGAGAAGTGAGAACTTTTATTACTGCCAAACTATTAATTAAAATACTAAGTCTATAGTGAGGTTCAAGATTAATGTATACATACTTAATTTTTAATAATAAGGTAGAATTTGAATGTTACTTTTTGCAGTAGAGTTCAAAGAATGAATGTTACAAAGAAAACCATATTTTAACTTGTTATCGCAGTTATTATATGTTTCTTATTATTTAAAGAACTTATATGATCTATTACGAAAGAGTCTTTGCATTTAAAATAAGTAGATAAATAATTTCTTTTACTTCAACTATTTAAAAGTAATTATTTAATAAAATTGAAAAGAATTTGGAGTTTATATTTGATGTATCTAAAAGGTCTAGTTTCTGTGAATTGAGTTCCGGGATTATTCTTCAATTATGACGAATGCTCAAAAGGTGTGACTCAATGTCACAAGCTTTGAGACTTACCCAAACCAAATGTATTACAATTCACAAAACTCACAGGGAAATTAAAAATATTCGGTTACATATGGGTATGTAACCGAATATGAGAGAACTGCCATTAATGATTGATATAGTTATATTAATATAGTTTCTCCTCTACTGCATTATATTTAATTAATTTAATTTGATTTATTAAAATTAATTTACTCGTAAAGGATTTATTCAGACAATAGCTTTCTTTCATGTTCAGCCGTTTCTGTCAAACCTCACTTAAACATGAATAACGACTCATTGTGATACCACGGTGAAGATACCGTTTATATACTACATCTGAAAGACTAGCTACAAGGTAGAAGTCCCAAACATCTACTTCACAAACAGCGCCGGTGTTTATCTCCCATTCAAGCAGAATGAAACAAGCTAACAAGTCTATAAACTTGATTATGTCAGTAAGGCAGAATGACTCTGTCTTATCACTTAGGAAAAAAACCCCAAAAGTTTTGAATATTGAGTATAATGGGTACTCACACTTGATGTAGGGTATAGTTTCCTTCTCACATGAAGAGTTATAGTCCCGACAATAGTAGTTAGAGAATAAACCAAGTTCTACTGCATTCCCTCCTAACACATAGTGACCTATCAGCACTGATACCATTGTACTGAATTGGTTCCACTTTAGAAGACTAGTACGAATTATATTTAATCTAAGCCAGATGAGTCTTGTGATCTGATAAGAGTCTTACTCTGCCCAGGTTTTCACCGAAACTCTTCCAACACATTATTTTTATTTTGTAGATAATTAAAATAGTAATATAATATGTCAACTGACATCAATTAATTTATCTACTAGGAATATTTTAACTCTTTTTTAATTTAAGATAAATACTATATTTACTATTAAACATAAATGACCAATAATCATAATTAATGGATATAATTTAAAACATTTTTAGGAATGTTACTGAATTCAAGATATCAGTTTAAAACGAAATGTTTTCCATTTATAGACCACAAATTCATTATTGGATTATTAAATGCAATATCTGAGCTCAAAAGATATAACTTATAATTCTTATAGATAAGTTTAATATTAAAATTCATAAATTTAGTATATTTAATATAGTCAATACTGAGTTGGGTATATGACATCTTTATACATTAATGAAATGTATAAAGATTTGATGCATTTTTTAATGCAGTTATAAAATATACATATTAGTATATGCGTAGAGTTAATAGGTATATTTTATTACCTACCAGTTACAAACAATAAATCATGTAAGTACATGAGCAAAAGAAGTCTTGGGTCCATTATTCATATGTTTATAGGCAACTGCAAAAGTATTCTGTTTATAAAAATTCCATTATAAAAATTTTATCTACAAATATTTTCCTTAGAGTGTAGAAAAATGTTCTTCTTTTTCATCAACCGCAACCATTGACAGTCAAGTTGTCATGTTGTCATTTGTATCTGCTTTGTATTGTAAAAAATGTGTGGATTTGTATTAAATTTGCAATTTACAGCTTTAAAATGACATTATTCTGAAACGTTATTGAGTTAAATTAGAAAATAAGCGACTGTATTTTGCAATTGTTTGAGCTCATTTCGAATAGATTAAAAAAGCTAAATTCTTTAATCAGATAAAAAAATAGATGTGTGATGTTCTATTTTTCTTCGGAAAAAGTTGTCTGAAAATATACGTAAATTTTTTTTTATTTACTTTGTGATTGCATATTAACTAGCATTAAGCAAGTCTCTAAAGCGTAACAAACTCTTCCACTGGCTTTAATTAGTTTGTTTCAACACATATGCCCAAGTACTAAGAGTCATCCAAGTATCTTATGGTTTGCCTTAAATAATGATAATGGGCTGCGTTACTTTGTAATATGTAAATACGAGTAAGTCTAGGCATTTATTAAATTCTTGTTGTTTATTTTAATGGATGAAAGTTTTTTAAATAGATTTCAAGATCATGATTTACTTTTTTCATTTGAATAATAAAACTGTTTTATTGTTTTAATAAAATAAACATAAATATTTTCTTGAGAAATAAAAAGCAAAAGTGTGACTAATTTAATAAGAAAAAAACTCATAATTGCCATTTATTATATTACTATCTTATAATGTGTTGTTAGGATACATAGTAAAGTAACACCTTTGAAACACTTAAATCTTATACCATCAAATACAATTTCGTTCAAAGTTTCATTCTAACTAGAATAAGACATATAGTATTAGTAAAACAGAGTTACGGTTCTAGACAGATCACCATAGTAATCTGTTACCATTTGAAGATGCAAAATATTGTCTTTGTATCGAAGCATATACCATCTCTATTCACATTCTTTAAGATTATCCAACCGATAGCTCCCGTCCCCGTCTAATAATTAGAAATCCTTAACGTATGCCAATTTGGCGTACATTTCAAAAAGGGTCGAGTGTGTTTTCTTAGAGTCGTTAAGTATCAGAATAATAATATAATAGAATCATTGCCATATTAATTTTTTGTTTGAATATCACAAATTTATTATATTTGCTAAGTACAGGAATTGTCTTGGGATTAGTCTTCTTAGCGGACTCTAGTAAAGTATAATGTTCCTGTCATTGTCAATTCAAACTCACCGATGATGACTCTAGCATTTATTCAAATATTGCTTTCAATATTGTGAATAGTATTATTAACTTGTTTATAGTTTTATGAGTGCTAATAGAACTATTATTTCTTGCCCATATAGCAAGAAACCAAAATAAATTTATAAGAGATATGGTTTGGGTATATCAAATGGAGTGCTTTCGATACAGAACTTTGAATTTGAAGTAATATTCTGCTTTTAACATTTTCTCAGAACTTTTTATGAGATTCTCATGTATTATTATGTCTTCATATAATTAATCAAAAATATTAATATTTTTCTCTCTGCGTTATTAATATTAAGTAATAATATTAATATTAAAAAAATGCTGTTACAAATCATAATATTTTACTTCAAGAACTTTTAACGGAGAACTTACATATTGATTAAAAGCCGTTCGAAAAGATGAATTTAATTTATATTCTTATAAGATTTTCGATTTGCGAGTATCTGATTTAGTGAATAGGCACGTCCAGTTGGTATAGTTTTTATTACCCAAAAAAGATAATGTCATTGTTTCTACAGCAATTGAAAATTACAAAAAAAGGGCTGTTTTATAGCCAATTGGTATAGTTTTTATTACCCAAAAAAGATAATGTTATTGTTTCCGCAGCAATTAAAAATTTCAAGAAAAGGGCTGTCTTATAGCCAAATAAACAAGTAGAACGAGGCAATGAATATTAATAAATATTGTTTTTATATTCGCAATATATAAGATAAGTTATTGAGAACTTTGCCACCACAATTAAAATAATTTTCTAGTTTAAGTTTTGAAAGTCTACGGTCCGGACTTATTTGAAAAATGAAAATATTTTATGTTTTTGTGGTATTTGTTTACCTAACTGTGTGGAATTCTGCATCCTCGACCCAACAACGGATCGAAACTGATCCTGAATTGACTGCTGGATATTTTGAAGGTGATATTGTTTTGAATAAAGACCGAAATGGTATTATAAAAGAGACCATGCACTGGCCAAATGGCATTGTTTACTATAACTTTGGTGACGTAATTGGTAAGTAGTTATTAAATGATTTTAAAGTGAAATACACTAAACCGATGTTATGCGTACAGATGAACCACATCGCAATCATATCTTACGTGGTATGGAAATGTTGGAGCAAGTGTCATGTATACGTTTTAAGGAAGCCGATGAAAAACAAAGTTACTATATTAATATAACTACAGAATTCGATGGCTGCTTTGCTACAGCTGGCTGGTGGAACAGATCTCAATCATTTAATCTGCAATTATATCCACTGGATGAAGGTTGCTTCCGTTTAGGTACGATTTTGCATGAACTTTTGCATACGCTTGGTTTCTATCATCAGCACAGCACGTGGAACCGAGATGAGTATGTACGGATTGCTGAAGAAAATATTCAGCCAGATGCATTACACGCTTTTGAGAAGTACAACTCTGACTTTGTTGATAATTACAATGAAGAATACGATTTCGACAGCATACTTCACTATCATGCATATGCATTTTCTATAAATGGAGAAAAGACCATTATTCCATTGAACGAAAAAGATGGTGCCAATATGGGCCAACGCGAAACTTTATCTCAAAGCGATATTAATAAACTGAATGCAATGTATCGTTGTCCGAGAGACATTAAACCCTAAAATCCTTTAACTCTTGCAACTATAATAAATCGATTTTTTAATAAAACTTCTTAACTGAAGTATTTTTTGCACGCTTTTGTATTTTAATGGAAAAAGGATCAAATATATTTCAACTGAAGAAAATATTGAATTAAAAGTGACTAGAAAGACATTAGCATTGAATGCGATAACTCTACAAGTATATTGTGTGTATTATTGAATAAAATATCAATGTTTTAATAATCAGTTCTATAACGAGCTTTTCGGGTTTTCTATTTTGTTTAGAAACAGGAGAAAAACACCTTTCGAACTTAATATTGTAATAATTTGGGTCGGGCCAAATCTAATATTATCTGATCCTTGATCATTAAAATATGAAAAATCAGTTTAATCTATCATCTGTAAGCCCTGTTGTCTTTTAAAATATCAGTTACTATCTGTTCATATATTACTTATTTTATTTTTTCAAATGCTGAAGTCTTGAAACTTTTCGAACCATTTTGGACCATTCTCATGTTTACACAAACTCTTAAGACGTGATTATTAAGCCTTTTTATACATTATGTCTATTCATTTTCCTAACTAATTTCGATGATGTACAAAATATTGCATTTTTTTATTGATTATAAATGTTTGATGAAATTTTTCTTCCAGTAAAGTTTTTAATAATTTATAAGTTTAGTTGTATATATGTTGATCCTTTTTTCGAGTCAGCGCAACTAGGCACTTTTACTCTTTAATAGCTGAGTGTACTACAGGGTCCCACCCATCTCACTGACTAATTTGTATATCTCTCATAAACTTCATAATTATTCAATAATTGATCTAAGATCTGCGTACCTCCCCGTGCGGAGACTGATTACTCTAAGATTAGATAGTGGTAAGTAGTATAGCCTGTCAATTTTCGCATATAACTTCAGGGCTCTGTCCCTTATGTATTTTTTGATCCGGTCTATTCTAAGGTCGCTTAGCATGTCATTTGTGCGGATGTACCAAGGCACTTTGAAGAGTCTTCGGAGAGCCTGACATTGAGCGACTTGTAGTTTTTGTATAGTAGAGTCGGCAGCTTTCCTATACGCGACACACCCACACAGTAATGCTGGTCTAATTATCCTTATTCATATTGTTCTTCTTCTTGTTTTTCTGTAGCAAACCTCTAAAGTGTTCTTGACAATGCAAGTTTGATTTTTACTATAATTGAGCGTCAATGAACGAATTTGAGATGCAATAACTCCACTCAGATATCAGGGTTGCTTTAATTCGTATTCATATTATTCTTCCTCTTTTTTTTTCTGTAACAAACCCCTACATTGTTATTGACAATGCTAATACGATTGTTGCTATAATCTAAATAAATAGTTTATATACAATATATGTAAAACTTTTATATATCTGCTTTACATGGTATTAGTTTTTTTTGGAAAAATAAGACCTATTCCAAATCGAATTTTACGTTTTAGGTTAAGATACACTAATCAAAGACCCGACTATGGAGTTTAAATTGAATTTATTTATCATATTTATTTTTAGACATTGTGGTTTTTTAAGAGTATGATTGCATTTCCGCAAAGCTTATCATTTTCCTTTAAATTTTATGAGACATTTGAATATTTTAATAAATATTACCCATTCTCATATTAATAAAAAAATAAAAGATCTTAAATAACCAAATATTTTTGGTATAAATTAATCGTATTATTTATTTATAAATCTATAAAAGTTAATAACTGAAGTTCAAAATAAATGTTATTTGTTGTGATTTGTAACGGTTTATGAAGCAAATCGAAATAGGCAATAAAATTATAGTTATATTTATATAATCAAAAAATATAATAATAATATCATCAAATCAAAACGAACCCATTAATCAACTCTTACTGATACGAATATTGTATAATATTTTATTGGCACATACCTAACAGCATTTTTATTATTCGTTCCAATATTATGAATGTCTTTCAAATGCAAATTGCACCATTGAGACCACAAATAAGATACACAAGCAAAAGATACTTATGCATATCAGATTGCCAAGTATAAGTTATCGTGAAAAAAGCTAAGCTTACTCATTCGAATAATTATCAAATCTAATAATTACTTTAATAATATGTTAGAGAAGTTACGTTTAGAGTAGGTGATACAAATATAGTTTATATACATTTTTGATATAAAGTATATGTATTACTCGTGTACGAAAATTTAGTATCGAGTTACATAAAATGATATATTTTTAAATTAAGAATGCGATTGCAAAATTGTTCGTATATAATTTTGTGTCAAATAAATTACTCAATAAAATGTATATGATGGCTTCATGAAGTGTTGTAGACATTTTAATAGACATACTAGTAATGCATAGATCAACCCCTGCTGAACTTAAGAGGAAATAGAATATTTTTACTAGGGCGAAATTATTTATTTAAACGTTTTTTATATATTAAATAGTTAGACATTTTTTTCGCATAAAACTTTTTCTGTATTTTATTTTCTAGTTAAAAAATTTTGATATAAAAATTTGTAGTTGAAATTTTTTTTTAAAAAAAAAAATTCATATTAATTTGGATAGAGCAAAATGTCGTAACTAATGATATGACAATATTTATTATGATAAATGGAATTTTATTAATTTAAATAATAATGAACTTTTTTTTTAAATTAAAATATAAATTTTACTTAAAAGTATTAGTTGTTGATATGCAGATGTCTGAGTTGGTGATTCATCACCTTAACTCTTCTATATCTGTTGACAGTTTTAAGTCACACTAAGAATAAATGAATACGGGGCTTTATAATATGATGGATCTGATGTCTTTATATCTGCCTGTGTTTATCAGATTTCGGTGTATTTTTAAGTTGCTGAATGTTGGATTATTGTGATTGTCAATTATATTGTACAGTTTCAGTGCACGATCTTTAATATATTTTTCGACTGAATCGACTCTTAGATATCTGTGGATATCCACAGAGATATCCACAGAGATAGTGTTACTTGTATTTCAATGAAAAAGACTGCTAATTTTTCTCTTATATATATTAGCCAGTACAAGTACTAGTATTATACTAGTATGAAGTATAAATATCAATATTAAAAATACATGATTAATATGCAAATAATAGCAACAATATAAGAAAATCAGGAAATGATAGCATTTTCATCATAAAAGTAAAAGAGAACTAGATCAAAAAATAATACTGGAATAATATAGCAGGATTAATACAATCAAAATCACTTATTGGTACCCATAACAATAAAAGATACCAGCTGTGTATGAACCTATACAAAAAAAAACTTAGATTCATCACAGAAATCCCAACAGGGCACTGTCAATAAAAATACCACTTCACAAAACTGATATATACTGATGCAAACTGTTGATTCTGCGAAGAGGATAAGGAGTCAGCCACACATGTGCTGTTAGAATGTCCTGCATTAATGCACAAACGGAATAAACTCCTTGAAATGTATAACCTTACGGATGAGATAATAAGACTCTGTAAAGTAGGTTCTATACTACCAGAAGATGGAACAATAAATCAGACAGTCGTAGTGCCACATACCTTAACAATAATAATAATACCTTTTGATTTTAATTCTTATTATCATTGAAAATGTTTATACAGAGGTTTTCCATACAAATGATTAAACATAATGATTAAACATATTTTCAACATTGCTATTAATGTCGTTGTTAATAATATTATTGTTTTAATTTTTTTTAAAATGCATTATTTTGAACCATTTGAACAAATGCATTATTTTGGCATATATCAGTAATGAAAGAAGAATAATATAGTAGTTGACATCAAAGTTCCGCAGCTAGGACTGTTTTCTGAGACTTGAAGGATCGGTGAGCTACAGATTATAGACAGAAAACAAAAATCAAAAACTTATAAGTAGGTATTAAACTTGACATACTGTAAGTATGCGGTACTTAGCACATTAACGATAATGAAAAATCTGCAAGGATTCACAAATCAGTGTCTAAAAACTATGTATTTTGCGTATTTGGTGACCGAAAAGTATTAGTAAATTATAACTTTGGCAGATCTCAAAACAAAAAGTCATTAAAAAATATACTAAATACAAGTATAAATACAAGTATGAGTGTCTTTTTTTAGAATTCCATAGTTACAATATATGTAAATCAAATTATCACATTTGATAATGACAGCTCTTTGCCTTCGAATGGTATAAAATAATCTACAGAGACACAATAACAAGATAATCTCATCTTTCGTATTCTTAGATAATTTGGATTTTTTCCGTTATGGAATGTTTCCTTTAAAAATGTGTGTTAAATATACAATCTGCCATTTCTTTTTTAATTATTGGATACTATATTATATAGAATATTTATACATATAATAAAATAACTTTCACGGCCGTAAAATATGCAATAAAATTTAAATTAAAAATAAATTATTTATTTGTGAGTTCATATTAAAATTAATTTTAAGGTTAACTAATAATAAGGAACTGGACTACTTCGTCCTTAATTATAAATTAATAAGGAATAATAGTTTTTAACCTGTGGATGGGCACAGTTTTTATTATTATAAATACGTATTTATGAAATGAAAATTTTATTCAAAATAATGTTTTATTATAATACAATTTTTTTTGTAAAGAAGTTTTTCGAACTTTAGTGAACTACAACAACAAATATTAATTTTCTGTTATTTTAATTAATTAAATTTTTACTTGACCACACAGCTGTTTCGAATATTGCCAAATACCCATAATCAGTGGTCTTGGAAATAGTTTTTGTATTTAATTATTCGTAAATAATTTTTTGAAACTACAAGTACCAGGAGTTAAATTCGCGCCCTGCTAAATTTGAAGCTTAGAGTCAACGCTCCTTAACCAACTGACCTAAAGCCATACTTGACTTTATTGTTGGGACATTTTTCTGGAGTTTTGTTTATTTGCTGTGAAAGTTTTATTAACAAATTCACTTGTTGTGTTTATGTTAGAACGAAATAATAAACCAGCAGTAGGATAATTGAATTAATTAATCATATTTTTATTTTTTAATTGTTAAAACTTTAATACTATTCTGTTTGAAGAGGCATTATTTGTAGCATGATTAATATATTCTTTGTTATGTATGGATCCTAATCTTATGTATAGAACCTAAATGGTCGCACGGGCGAGATCAATATTTTGTGAATTTAATTTTTTTATAAGCAATAAATTTTCAAAATGCAATAACTATAAAAAGTAATTTAATTATTAAATCCTATCATATTTATATAATTTTTTTTGAAAATAAAAACTATAAATTAACTTCAATTTTCTTTTTTAAATATTATTATTATTTAACTTATAATATATTAAAGTCTTAAACTTTTCATTTATAGTAATTGTGCACAAAAATGGGAAATGCTGGCTACTCTTGTATACGCAGAACTTTTTGCTGGCTCAACATAATACTATGGGTAAATATATATGAGTACATATATGTATATACATACATATGGTTTTATTTCACACGTATATATAATTGACAATGCATAGTACGAGTATATACGGTTACTTGCATATATTATGAGAGTATTATTAAAATATTTTAAATGCAAAACTTTATGACATAAAATTTACACGGAAAATTTAAAAGTCTTTGATGGATTTTTTGTTTGATTTTTATGCAACGAAACACTCTCAGGCATCTGAAGTCTTACACTTAACAACTTCATGATTAACACTGCATTTTAATTATGAACATTAGTCAATGTTATTCAACTTCGGAAAATGTGTCTGCAACGGAAATTGAAATATTGTGGGATATTTCAGTCAAACTTTCATACAATACATGTAATGATGTATCTGAAAGAAGATAAAAACTTCCTCACGTCGCGCCGACTTTGTTCATATTTTGTTCCATTGTCACAGAATTTTAGTTTTTCGAGTTGCGTGATCGTAAATAACGAAAAGATTAAATAAAATGGTATTCAAAGATGTGAGGATGCATAACTAATAACTTTCATAATACTGCATTTTGTTTGTAATTTTATTATCAACATTATTAAATAAATTAAAGTGAAGTGTTCAAGTTCAAACTTTAAAGATTGGTTTTTATATAAATAATAAACAAAAAAAATAAGTTGCATAATATTTTTATATTAATTTTTATATGGCACTGTTATAATATTGTATTTATTTAAAATTATTTTCGTAATAATTTTTTATCTTGAATGCTGGAAAAATAATTTTTTATTTATTTAATTATTAATTTATAAGGAGTTTTTCGAAAGTAATGAACTACAACAACAAAAACTCATTTTTATATTATTTTAATTAATAAATAATATTAATATTAAATTAATTTATAAATTTATAATTTATGCAATTCAATGTCAAAGAAGAGCAACAGTTTTTTATATAAAATTTAATTGTATTTAAATGGCGCATATTTTAAAAATTTTTGTTAGCGGAAGTATACTAAGTGAGAATTATAAGCTGACAATATTATTAGAAAAATATTTAAAAAAAAGCAATGAATATTTTACAGTAAATTGATTTTTAACAACACACATACATAACAAATTATTATTCTAAGTCTACTCAAAAAATTTAAATGATCAATTATATATAATATATATTATAAGCTTTCGTACATATTAGCTTTCATTTTATAGAGAGAGAGAGAGAGAGATAATAAGCGATTACTCTTTTACAGTAGTTTGTTGTCCTATATAATAGCAATCTTATATAACATATTGTATATATTACATACATATTAGCTTTCTTTGCATAGTTTTATATTATAATATAAATACGATTATTCTCATAAAGTAGTGTTTTATCCTATGCCAGTATAATAGATATTTTCTGTTCATTGGTTTTTATTGCATCGTTATATATCATAATGATATGTTGCTCTTATGAAGTAGTTTAGAACTCTATTATAAATTTCAATTATGTACCACAAAGTGATGCTGTAGGAATACACATAGTGTTTCAAAAATACCATTTTGAGGAAAGTCTTCAAGACAATTTAGTATATTATAAACACAAAAACGTTCATGTAACAATATGTAAAAGACAAAGCGACAAAGCTTTTTCTCGAAATAGATAACCACACTAATAGCACATTAATCTCATTAATGGCCAACTTATACAGACAGTCATGATCACGTCAAAGACGAGACTTTTGTGCCAAGATAGTTTTTCTTGGTGATAAATGGTATAATCACCTTTTCCAAATTATGGCTCCTTTTCCATAATTAGGATTAGAAGTGGAAATATATATTGTGGTGCGGTTATGTAAGTATATACATAATAAATATAGTACCTTTTATATTCAGATACACATAAAAAGTATCGAAATAGTACTAAAAGCACGAAATTGACAATGCTGATGATTTAGACTTGTCACAATCATCGAAAACTTGCAGTGACCATTCGTCATATGACTGTCTGTATAACATGGCCTACGAGGAATTCAAGCAAGAGAGGGAAAATTTGTAGATTTCTGAACATAGTCCAAAAACAAAAAAATTAATTTTAAAGAACGTCAAATGTATTGTATTATATATTATTGTTTATAAGATAAATATCTTACTGAATGAGGTCTACATCATAATAGAACTTGACGATCTAAATCAGAAATGGTTGAAAAACAATCAATTTTTCTTAAGCTATTTTTGCATCGAATATTGCATTATTTTACATATGCATTATAAAATATGTCGTGTTGAATGAGGTCTATACCATAAGGGAACTTAACAGATCTAAACTAAAAATAGTTGAAACACAATCAATTTTATTTAAGCTCTTTGTCTAGAACATAAAAGTTTATATATCTTTTTTATGAAGAATGTAGTTCATCTAAATGGAGAATGTTTTTGAATAAAATACATCTACTATAGTACTCAATAAATAAATTTACCATATATCTATTATTGAATTTTTCAATAAAATTTCAATGAATAAAAAATAATTAATGATCATTTTTATATTTTTAAATTTAAATAGATCTGCAGTTGTGCATTTTTGGGTGCTGGCGTTTGGTTACGACTATCGTATGAAGGTTATGCGACTTTACTACCAGACCATGCAGCATTAAGCGCGGATACAATTTTCATGGGCATCGGCATCGTAGGTTTCGTTGTTTCCTTCTTTGGCTGTTGTGGTGCGTGGGCACAGTCCAGATGCTTATTAGTTTTGGTAAGTTTTGGCTTAAGATTGTAACTGCATTCATGCATTTTTATTAAATACATTTTAATAACTATCTGCAGTATTTTATGATGATTGTTGTACTATTTTTGAGCGAATTTCTGGTGGGTTCAATAGCATTTCTTTTCCGCGGTGGCCTTGGCCGTACATTAGCTAATGAGCTTAGATTTGGCATTGAAAGACATTATAATGCAACAGATCGTGGTTCATTAGTTGCACCATCTGTAGCTTCAATATGGGATAACGTTCAACATGCAGTAAGTTTAATATTTTAAAATATTTTGAATATTTTTTCATTATTAAAATAAATAAAATTTAATAATAATCAAAAAAACAATAAAAATAGTTTGAGTGCTGTGGTGTTTCATCATACGAAGATTGGTATGATATACAATCATGGAGTGGTAAACGTTGGGTGCCTGAATCTTGTTGCAAGCCAGTTTATGAAAATCGTGGTATTTTTACTGAAGGTTCTGGTGATAGCATATTTAAAGTAGACTGTGGACGGTAAATTACTTGATAAAATATTTTTTAATGCTTGTATATGTAATAATAACTATTAACTTATTTATTTTTGTTTTACTAATTTTAGTTCTGAAAATCCATCACTTTGGTGGGACAGAGGTTGTGCTCATTCTTTACAAGCTTGGTTTAATGGACAACTTAATGTTATTGGAGCTATTGGTCTTGGTATAGCATTTGTGCAGCTTTTTGGCTTAATCACATCAATGTTGCTATTTTGTACCGTCAAGCATAAACGAGAATCGGATACTTATAAATCTTATTCACCTTCAATCGATCCACAGACACGAACGAGTAGTTGGGAAGATTGAAGTAGACTTTAAGTGCAATTATGGTATATTTTTAGTTTATAAATAATTGCACATCAAAAAAAAAAAAACTTGGAAAATGACCACATATAAGTAATATTACATAGAGAAAAATTAAAAAATTACATATAGACAATATCAAATCTAGAGACTAAAATTATTTTAGCAATTATGTGCCAATGCTAGACCTATAGTAAAATACTCTCGTATAAATTTCAAATATAAAAAAAAATATTAATTAATTATTAATCGATTTATATATTCGATGTATTATAATCTAAAAGTTGTATTTATTTAAATGATTTTAGTTTAAGGAAGTTGAGAAATTCACTCAAACAACTAACAGGAATCTCTCATATCAAATTTGTATGCCAGTTGAGATACAATTTGGCATTTAGATAGAAATTTGCAAGGAACTCTATTATATTAGAGAGTTAAATTTATTTAATTTATTGTTGAATTAAATAATATAATAAGCTAAAATATAAATCGAATATTGTTTAAAATTAAGTTTATAACTGCCTGCTAAAATACAAATATTAATAATTATTTTAATTTAAAAAATAATCGACATATACAATACTATATACATATATATACATTTTTATATATTAAGTAATATCCGAAAGAAAATAATTTTCGAACGAAAAATGAATATCGAAAAATGGCAACAATTGCTTCGAATTGAACATTCCTTAAAATAAATTGTGTAATTGAATTTATTTTATATAAAAATAAAACTAGTTGTAAGATTTAAATAATAATAAATTATTTATTAAAACAATAAGAAACATTTTAGAAATCATAATAAGTACATATTTAAATAAAATATATTCCAAAAGATTCTTTACAGTTTATTGAAGTCCAACAATTTTACCACCAATAATATCAAGTTGTGCTGTTATGCCCTTCGTAAGAGAACGTGCCAGTTCTTTGGGTTTCTAAAAATTATTAAAAAGAAAGTATCACATTTAAAAAATATTATAATTAATACTAGTCTTAGAAATGATATTCTAATAACATCTAATAATAAGCTAATAACAAGCGCAGCTATATGCACCTAATTTAAGTATCTTAATGTTAAAGTATCTAATGAACTGAGTAAAAAATATTGAATTGACTGAATTTTCGTTTGAGAATCGATGTGAAAATGAAACTAAAAGTATGGCTTCAGGTAATTAATGATATTATATATCATATATTTATCATACATAAATAAATGAAAACAGTATTGATTAAAAAAGGCTAATGCGCCACAAACGGTGACAAATGCGATATTGACAACATGAACAGTGGGTAATGCATTGGAATTGCAATGGTATTATACATTGTAAGCAGCCAACGCTAAAGAAAACGATTCATTGCTACCAATAATTATTTCAATTAAAGCAAAAAATTAGACTCATCAAAAAGGAAATCATTGTGCTTTATAAACAATAAACGACATCAAAGATTGAAATTATTGTGCTGTAAAAAATCAACTGACCTGTTTATGGAAAAGTGCCAGGGACAATCAAGTCGTCCCGAAACTACTCATTGAGCTCGCTGATTGGATTATTAGTGTCGAATGAAAAATATAGGAAAATGTAAGAACCGCTTGAATTTTGGTTTTCATCGTAAACGAGAGAAAATCTTATATCAACTGATACAAACATTGAGCAATTGCATTAAATTTGATTGTATGTGAAGTATTTGGTGATCGCATTTATTATTATTTATGTTGTTTGTGTTTTTATGTTATGTTGTTTTGCGTTTTATTTCAAAATTTCTAACTTTTTCTGCGTTCTGCGTTTTTATTTTCTACGTTTTCTACGTCCACGAAAACTAATTCAGTTTTATTTTTCTGCAATTTTATAATAAAATCTCCCTATAAAATTAAATTTCACAAATACGCTTCAGCATTTAACTAGCTTTGTATAACGAACAAGAAGTTTTTCACACATAACTCATATATAAATATTAAGTTACGAAAAATTTTGTGTTAATTAGAAACAATATTAAACTTAATAACTGCAGTAATTATTAAGCCTGCATCCATAATCTCTTCAAATACTATATCAAATACCTGTATTGTAAATAAATATATGTAATAATCATTATAGTTTCTCAAGGTTTAGTGCTTTATGACAGTTAAAATATCTTATTACATCCATGAGAAATACATTTCATAATTGTCCAATACATTTTCATAATTGTTGTTACACATCTATACTTACTTGTATTAATGTATTTAGTAAATTGGAAAAAGCTTCGTAACCGTTAACCAGTGAACGTGAAATTCCATCGAACATATCCCCATTGTTGCCATATTTATCATGTTCATTAATTGTATCTAAAATTGGTACTGCCTAAAATCAATAAATAAGTGAAGAAAAAGTATTAAAGATTATAAATACTCAAAGAGAAAAAATAACAAAAATAAATATTTAATACTTACATTTGTAATGTCAAGTAATTTTTTTTGACTTTGATCGTATTTACTGAGAATTTTGGATGGTATTCCCTCATATTCCAAATTAACTGATTCTGCAGTCTTTGGTGGTTCAGGTAGTAAAGTTAACTAGTTTATTGATACAAAATTTTAATTACATCAGAGCGCGACATTACGTTGCAATACTCACCTTGAAACCGGAATTACTCTTACCGCTGCTACTGTCAATGTTATCTTCAATATTTTGAACTGCGATTTCTGACAGTTGTGATTCGTCGTTTTTCTGTTCTAGTTCCACTTGTTTATCAGACGTTGTTACAACTTCAACTGTTTCATTCGTTTCAGTTGGCGCACTTAAGCAAGTACTTAAACACATCAATACTAGTATGAATATGTTAATAAACATCTTTTGTATCATTGTTTAATGTTTATTATTTTTAAATTAATACTTTTTATTATTATTATGATTTTAATATTTTTGTAAAACACTTTAAACTTGCTGTTCTTTGAATTATTAATAAAATAAAGCACATCAATAAATAACAAACACTCCAGCCCGAAAACTTAGACGTCAATGAATCAACACCATTCAACGCAAAATTCAAATCGTTAACTGTGCATGCGCAACTGTTTTATTGGTTTAACCTGGCTAGGACCATTGCAACATGCGAGCATTCAAGAGTTTCGTAAGCGACGTTACGTTTTTTATATTTTGCAGTAAAAGTAGCCGCAGAGCTGAGTGAAAAGTGTGTATGGCATCTCAGGTGATAAAATTAAATGAGCTATCACAGTAAAGTTCAAATTTTTCTTTTAAAATAAAACAAGCAATGAGGAAGGAAGTTAAATAATTATTTATATATGAGTATAACTAGGAATAATTACTGAACTACTGCCCCACTTGAACTGGATTTGAAGTGAAAACTCAAATATTGCAAAAATGCAAACTTGCACTTGCGTGGAGTCAGCTTGTTTAGCTTTGGTAAGTGAATTATGTTAAGGCAACTCACGGTGCACGGTGAAGACTTTTGTGTTTATGTAGAGTGCAGAGTGTAATTTACTGCTTTTGAGCTTCTCACACTTGCTCTTGTTGTTGTTGTGAATTGTATAATCGCTAGTTGAAAGCTTACGCTTTCTTTTTGTTTGTGTTTTTTTTTGGCACTATTTATGTGCTTTCATTTGCTTTGACTGTACGTTATATTTTGATTGCGGAATATGTGGATGACATTTAGTACTAAAAAATAATATGTAGTAAAAATATCAAATAAATAAATATGGGCAATTGGTTTGGTTCATTTTATTTCATAATTGCAGATCTCAAAAAATTTTAATAGAAAAACAAGTAATCATAATAATTACTCTAAATTACTATATGAAACAATATGATAACATATGTGAACACCTTTGTAAATTATCAAGAAATAATAATTAACTCCACAATGTATAATTATCAAGTATTTTTAAATCGTTCAGTAAACGATTTACATACATTTATTTATAAACATTTAATATGTGTTTGAAATAAGTAATAAAAATTAATATTTTTAAATTTATAGTTTTTTGAACATAAGAAAATCTATAAAATTTGTTGCTATTAAATTTTTATAGCAAAGCTTTTCTATAAAATTTTATTATAGAAAATAATGAACGAGGAAGCAGTGACTAACGCTGACACAGAGTCATTGGCATAGGTTCAGCGATCTAAAGAGGACGATCATACGATGTTATCGGAAATTTATTATATATCTAAGAGGTGAACTACACGCTTGGAATGTGGCCGATCATTAAGCTAGGTAAAACATACAGCACAAAAAATAATAATATAAAAATAGGTATAGCAAATACAGAAAAAGTGATAATACTAACATACATTAACGAAAACTTAAAATAATAATAATACATACATAACACCCGAAACATACATACATAACAACCATACGGTACAAAAAAGAAGAGATAATGAAAATAGAAAAAGAGGAAGCATGGCTTCGATGTAGAGATGTGGGGAATGGAGTTATAAATACTCTTAATTTTAACTTTGTTTTATTAATTGTATATTGTAAATAAAGTGATTAAAACAAATTTTTTTTCATAGCATTTTTTTTACATAAAACAATTGCACTCACAACTACACACAATGAATAATAGATTTAGGAACTAAACTTGAAAGATTATGTTACATATGTACATGGGAAAAAGTTCTACGATTAGCACTGTGATGACTTCTATTATAGAATGGTATGCGGTTTTATCTATAAACTAGAAAAATTAATATTTAAATTTTTACAAGAGTTTTAAAATATCAGACTATTTAGCATTATTGCAACAACTAATGTATGCATGTAAAAAAGAAGCGAAAACTGTTCTAAAAATTTAACTTATTTTTCATTTATTAATAACTTATCGAGCAGCCCTCGTATTCAATTTTTGTTATTCACATAATTATAATATGTATTGATATTTTTTATGACATAAGCTCCAAGAAAATATTGTTGTAATATACGTAATAAAATTGTATAATTAAAGAAGTTATTCAAAATCAGTATGTAAAGGATAATTTTAAAGTTGAATTTTTTATATTATATAAATTAAAATATAAAAACCTTTAACGATTTTTTAAACATATTTTTAAAAGCTTTCAACTCAAATTTGTATAATTAAAGAAGTTATTCAAAAGCAATTTGTAAGGGATTATTACAAAGTTTAATTTTATATATCATATAAATTGAAATATAACATTATTCTTATTATCATTCTTTTAAATATATTTTTAAAAGCTTTAAGTTTATAAAATAACACTGAATAACAGTGTTACCACAGACAAATAATATTTGTTACTTTATCAAAGCTTTACACTTAAATTAAGCTTTCAACTTAAAGCTTTTATACAATAAAGAAGTGTAAACTTTAAATACTTTTAAAATTTGAACGTAAAGCTTCATTTTGATTAAAAATTAAATAAGCCAAGTATTTAATCACCACATTAGGATTTTTTAATAACTTTATGTATTTCATTATTTTATTTTTTTATCAAAACAAAAATTGATTTTTTAAAGTGCTCTTCCATATTTTAAATTATAAATATATATAACAGTCTTATTTAAGAATTTTTGTGTGTTGAATTCGGGACCATTGTTTATGTTGAGCTATTCTTTTAATGAAATCTAGGAAATTTCTAGAAATCATGCTTAAATGGTATTTGAAGTGTTGTTGTTAGAAGGTACGATTCATTTCCTAGCCAGTGCATCACATTCTCTTAGGGAATACCTATAATATCTAGATTACTTATCTTCATAAATAAAAACATTGTTTTCTTTTAAGAAATTTGTCCAAATGTTTTATAAGTTTGCCCAACCATAAAGTAATATTGAGTTTTTAGAAATTGTATTACAAACTAATTAAATGACCATTTTTTTAACTAAATATGTTTCAGTTAACCACTACCTTTTAAATATAGGAAGAAAACCCAAAAGCAGTACTTCAGATGTTGTGAAATATATAGTAAAATATCCGCTTTGATGCACCCATGACGGATATAGGATTTGTAACTTCACCTAGCTTTCATTAATTCTTATAAAGTTTGAAGTCTTAAACCAAGTGATATTGCCAGTTTTATTATAGCCTTAATTATTAACGCTTAGAGGGCAACGAAATCAAATAGGATACAATAAATATAAAGCGTGGTGTACCATTATGACTTCGAATAATAATAATAATAGGGCCTATGTTATCCATCAGAAATAGCTCTTACAAAACCATGTAAGAGGTAATACTTGAAATAAGTGTGATTCATACTTAGAATAACATATATTATTATAGATTCTGTATAATATCAACTCATACTTATTAATTTAATATGAGGAGTTTATTGTTATGATTTTATAAGTTTTTTTTTTGTCAGTCATTCTATTTTTCAACACTTTTAATAAAATTTTACTTTCTTGGATAATAAAATCAAAATACACATAAAATTTAATCAACTATTATAAAATTTAAAAATAATTTTATAACCGATTATAGAACTAATGAATAATTCAATATTTTTTAAATATTAATTATAAAATATGATAAAAGGATATATGTATATTTAATATATTTATATGAATATATTTATATAATACAAATATATAATTTATAAATTGATTAAGTATTAACCTGGGAAGCTTTTTTTGAAGAGGAAAAATGATATTGTGATTGGTGAATTAACATAGTTGACTGGAACTAGAGGAATGTCTAGCTTCTATATAATTTTAAAGTTTATCTATGTAAATTTTTCTTTTTAATTAAAATTGAAAAAATTTTAAATAAATTTCAAAATAAAATAAGTTTAGTAATACAATTTTAAAATAAAAAAATTAATATAGAAAGTGAAATGAAAGCAAAAACTTTATATAAAAGTAATGAAAAATGTAGGCTAAATTCAAATATCTAATTTGCGTTAATTAGCGTATACTACGCTCGTAAATTCGATAGGTGACCAAAGTCTATTTAATAAATAAAAGTTTTATTGCTACTAATTGATTCAACAAACTTCACATTTTTTGAATCATAATCATATAATAATGTTTTTTTCTTAAGTTATCAATTTCGAATAAAATAATAATATACAAAAACTCAAATATTCATTCTTAATTGATTTTTATATATATGAATATATATGAATCCAATTTTATAGTTTTTTACTACAAAATTAGGTTCATACTTATTTTGATATAGCCTAGTTATACTTAATATTTTTTGAAGGTACATATAAGTTTTTAAGAATTTGTTAAACAAGTTAAGAATTAAAATGATTAAATGGAAACTTATTAAAGAGCTTGCTTTAAATCCACAGTCCGAGATAATCATTATTTAAGTCTATGCACCAAACGATTTTACTGGCGTGCAACAAGATATAGTTTCTACAATCAATTCTTAACTTAATACAACAAACTTTATTCCTAGAAACGATATTCTAATATTTATAAGCAAATTTTATGAAAACTGATCTGCAGTAATAATAATCTTAATTGCCGTATACACTGGCTAGACTGGAGGATGTACATTAATAACATGTAGAACTCTTAATTAATAGAAACCTATGAGGAAGCTTGCCTTTGGACTCATCCCCTTGAAGTGGCTGGGTTTCTTCGACTGGATCCTGGTTAGTTTCAAATTACTCCCACCCCTCCCCTTTCCCTCATCCCAACACTCACTCCCACCTTTTCCATTCCTTACCCCATGTATTCGTCTTGTAATCCTTTCATGTTATCTACTTTCAGGTCCCGGCGGGTTACAACAACAACAACAACAACAACAACAACAGCAAGCTTGCCTTAAATCTACAGTTCAAAAACAAAAAAAAATTTTTAAATGTATGTTGCCCAGTTGCACTAACTCGGAAAAACCTCAACATAAGACTGGAGGAGTAACAAAATATACTTTCCATAGAATGAATATGGCTATGCTTATAAGCAACTTTAATGGAAACTGGGCAGCAATAATGAAAGCTTACTTGGCTTCTACATTGGCAATATTTTTATGTTAGTACGCAATGCAAATGGGTATCATATACCCATACCACATATTTGTACAAGTATGTGTTAGAGAGCATATGAGAGTGTAAATAAAACTCCTGCCAAAGTCTAGCCAGTGTAGAAGCAATGTTAGAATGTTTTTTTAAAAAATTGTTAAGAAGCAATTGACAGAAGAAATGATAAATGATAAATGAAATTGCACCACAAAAGAAAAATCTGCATTTCACCTGTTAATACAAAAGAAAATCGAACAGACCATTTAATCTGATAACATTAGGAAACCTCAATAAAGAATTTCCATACTTGAAGAGCTTGGAAAAACCACATGAGGTTATCTCTCGAACCACGTTGGGATATTTTTAAATTGTCCATTGTGAAAGCTTTTGAGCGAGAGCTTGTTTAAAAAGAACAATTGATGTGCTGAATTATACCAATGAGGAACCAAATAATAACGATGGGGAGTTGCATTAGATTAATGGTGATGAAGATCTATCGGTCTTTTACACATTTGATAAAATACTCAAGTAAGTTATTAATGACGAGCAGAATCACATCAATGATGATGATGATCTATCGGCTTTTTACACAATTGATACAAGACTTAATGGAATAAGCTCTTATCTTTATGTTCTGGCAGTACAAATTTTTATCGGAAATCACTGAAACCAATTTTCGTTAGATTTTATTTTTTTTTGAATCATTTCTGATATTAATACATTTTTAATTTAAAAGTTAAGTACAAATTTAAAGTTTACAATAATAAAATTCAACTCTATATAATATTTAAAAATAACATATTTTCAAAATTTAGTTAACATATTTTTATATATGTCAATTTGTTAATATATGTTTTACGTCATTATTCTAAAATTTTATTTATTGAAATATACACAATTTACAATATACTATAATGTTACGTATACAAAAGATATTATTAGCTGAATTTAAAAACATATATGAATCAGTTTTAGTTGAGAATCCTTTTACGCAAGTTGATGAAAATGGTTACGGTTTGAAGCAATATCATATAGGTATATGCTATTACTGGGACTGATTAAAAAAAATATATATAATAAGTGTATTTAAAGGTGTTACATATACTAAAATCCTATTTGGCGTTGATAATTTTATATCAACAAATCTGGACGATATTTATTCACAGAACATAGATCCGGAAATCGAAACATTTGAGCTGACGTCCCTTATACCATTACAGCTTTTGAAATTTCAATTTTATCGAAAAAGAAATCGGTACATAATGCAATTGACGCCTTGTCTTGATGGAGTACAAACAATGTATTTTGAATTTGGTGGCCATATGTACAAAAATGTAAATACTACTAGATCTTACTATATTTTAAAATTGATTGGAATGAAATATTTTTGTATCATAGCTATTTTGGAATACATGGCGAGAACACATTGCGACAGTACGACTTCAATGTCATCCAACATTCTTCCATATATCTGGTATGTCACCTTTTTCGAGTTCAGATGTGCTTGCTGATGAAGAGATCTTTAAGGCTGTTATACATGCAGAACCACGTCGCGCTGTAAGTGTTTGCCTAAGTCATAGTGGCAGTCTGTGAATTCTTTCAGATATTAAAAACTAATATATAGTTTGTTTTTGTCTTATATATTTACACAAAATATATATTTTATACAAATATATTTTACATTTAGAATAGTTGATATATTAATGAAGTATCTGTACAACGATTAAAAAAGTTAAATGAATTTTTAGATCGTAAGTTATTTTTAAACAAATAAACGCACATCATATTTGAACATATTGAAAGGAACAAAAAATGCGTACGAAATTTTATAATATGCACAATTTTATTGCACAAACGATTGTATCTGATTATGTGGTAATTAAGTCTACAGATAAAAGTTAAAACTAATCAAATATTTTAATTCTAAGAAACGTATCTTAATATAATTAACAAAAAATTTTTATATTTATGGCTTTAAAATATTTAAACTAAAATTTTTGTGAATTTCCAAAAGTAATGGATTTATCGGTGCTTTTGTTAAAGCCATTACTGCTCAAGCGATTTCCATTCTTAAGTATGCCATTACCAGTTCCTATGGTAATGACGTTGCCATTCATATTTTGAATATTTTTCACTGGTTGATATGATTCCGTCTTGAATGAAGAAGTTCTATTGCCAATGCTAACACCTTGCATTTTTCTATTTAAATTATCTGTACTGCTCGTACCGTTCTGCAATGGACAATCACTTTTATGCTCCATTGCATGACCATTGGGTTTCTTTAAATTGGATCTTGTAAGCGTGTTCTGTAGTTCGGCATGCAAATTTTCTGTATTGCTAAGTTCTGTGTTAGTGTTACGCTTCTGTGCAGATATAAACTCAAACTTAGTTGGTTCCTTACGTTGCTGCTCATACTCGCCTATAGTGACAGTACCCAATCGCATAGTGCGTCTATTACCAGTTGAGTTAACTGCAGTGTTATTTAGTGTGTCTCGACTGCCAACGTTGGTGCTGTATACATTTGGTCTCGTTACCGTTTTACGCAACTGCACATTGTCGTAGTCTGGAGTCGGTGAAGTGGGTGGTTTTAACGGTTCTTGTGCTACCATTGTGGTTGTATTAGCTGTTGAAGGCTGTTTCAAGGTAGTCAAGTTAGACGACTTTTGCGTTGAAATATTATTTTGATTCGTTTTTGGTGGTGAATTAGCAAACTGTGGTGGCTGAAATAAATAATAATTAATTAATAAATTAATTTTTTGTTTATATAATTGTTTTTATAGAATAAAATGAAAAAGCTTAATTAAACTTGATTTTAAATTTATGTTGAAAAACAATTTAAAGGCAGCTATCGTTGCATGCATAAAAGAGTAACACATTTTTATATTTTGTTTAGATACAAATGTATGTATGTGGCCTGCGAGATGCAATAATAAAAACGCTTTAGCAACTATAAATATACAATATTATTATTATGATTTAAATTGAAGAGATATTTAAAATTAATTGAAAATTTGAAATTAATCTATAAATATATAATATTAGAAATTCAATTTGAATTTAATAATATTTAGAGCAATTTAAAAACAATTAAAAATTTTCGTACAATTTTGGAAGGTATATTCAAGCACTTTGCAACTCATTATGTGTAAGCATTATATCATAATATCATAGTACTTAAGGTACTATACATTAAATTGCTTGAGTGAAAACAACTTCTCATGCCTTCCTGTAGTAAATGGGATTACCTATATTCATTAATCATTAATATCTACTTAAAAACGCCTCATCTATAAAACTATGTTCATTTGCATATTACAGTATGAGCACAGGCAACCTCATACATCCTATAACAGTTGACGGGAATACATTTTTTTTGAGTTCTACATGAAAAGTCCTTCAGTAGTACATTCAGTAGGAAACAGGATAATATTATATTTAGCTATGGAATTTTTTTTGAAAATAACTTATAATAGTAGAAGTCTATACAAGATATTGTCTGATATGCAGCATCAATTAAACTTATTATTTATTTCATATTTAATTTTAGGGACTTAAAGTTTCGACGTTTAATACTTTATTTTTAAGCTTTCTGTAGTACAAAAATCTTCAACATATTAAGATTTTAAAAGTGATGACGTACTTTTAGGGCAGTGTAAGCACTGGCTTATATAAAAATAATAAAGTGGTTTGGCTTTTAAACCTAATGGATAACTAAATAATTACATAGAACTTAAATTAACAGACACAAGTTAAGTTAAATACATTAAAATTAAACAATGTTTTTAATTTGATTAATAAATGAATTAATAATGTTAATTTACGTTAGCTCCCCAAAATTAGTGAAAAGCGATTTATATAATGATGAGTAGAGAAAATGGAAAAAGTTTTTGTCTAATTTTAGTTGTAATAGTAAATATTGTGAAAAAATTACATTGTGGCGGCTAACTTTTCAATAAGGCAGAAGCCCAAACTGCATTCAGTCTAGAGAAATCATTACATTCAGTTAATTAACGATAGTATTTTCTTAAAATTGTACCAAATTCCTAATGTCACACTAGTCTTAGAAATTATTTGATATTAATAACCTATTAACCATATTGGGTGGTACAAACCTAGGCTTCTTGCATGGCAGATCGTTTCCCTACAAATTTTTTTTTACTTTTTCATTTTCTTTTATATTTTGACAACACACAGCCTAGATCACAGAAAAGTTCTGCAGTTCACTTAAGTTGGTTAGACTCTCTTTGCAATATTTTAATAAATAAGAGATTGTAATGGCTAAGTTTAAAACCTGACTTGCAGGTTAAATACTTGATAATATGTATAAGAATATTATCTTTGAGCATATGATCTGCGATGAGTATCCTACATACCTCTCCTTAACCTGAAATACACTAATCAACTAGGGAAGCTATATCAAGCTTTCAATATTCAACCTCTTTAAGTATATAGCTACACCCATTCCGTTATGCGATTAAGAGCAAAAATCGAGGTTTCAAAAATTTTTTAACCAAGTTCTGGTTGGCCAGTCTATTTTTAAGGGTATAATTGTAGTGCAATTATTATTGAATGTTGTTTTCGAAACAATGTAGTAAGTTTTATTGGATATAATACTTCTGTATACTTGTATTATTAATTCAATTATTTTTTTTTTTGTTTTTAAATATTAGTAATATTAAAAAGGCTACACTTAACTTAAAAACGTTTCTAAAGTAATAAAAAATGTAAAAAATCAATTAAATAAAGATGAGCTGCCTATATAATAAAAGCTGTTGAAGATAATGCAAAACGTATTATGTTAAAGTAGACTGTAGCAAACCTAAGTAAAATTAAAATGAATCCATGGGTATGAACATGGTGCAGAAAATCTGAGCTATACATATTAAGAAGCGTATGCTCGAAATCGGTCAGCAGACAAAGACTCGCAAAAGTTATATCGCTAATAACAATAATTATAAATTAGTCAGAGAATATATATCGTAAAGTCATTATTCTATATATTAGTTACCTGATAAAATATATGCACGTAATGAATATACATTTTAGTTGTGTAACTGTGATGTATGTATTGCACTAATTGTGTAACATGATTGCACAAAAGATGATCTTAGCTAATCATTAGGTTAAAGAAGAACTAACTAAATATCGTGATTAAACATGCGAATGATTTTATTATATTAAAATTATTAAACTTCATATTGTGTTTTCGATTTTGTATGATTCATATATATAATAAAATACGTATATACCACCCAAATCAAAACATTTCAAAAACTTTATTGTTTTTTATCTTAACTGCAATGTTCTGAATATTTCAAAATCAGTCAAATGCAATTAATGATAAAGTAACATTACATTTTTTGCATTTACTAGAAAAAATGTAAATATTGATAAGTAACAGTCTTCATTCAGTAATAGTCTTACGTAAATTAATGGTAAAGGAAATTTTAGTTATAATTTATACATATTAGGAAATTTATTATTTACTATCGGTAAAAATATAGAAAATATTGTTATCTAATGCGTAACTGAATGACATGTGCAACTCGTTTTTATATATTTAATCAGTAATCTTTTTATATTTACAATTCTTTCAATAATCGAAACCTAAGTAACAAATACCGCTCTTTAAATTATTTGAAAAAAATGAAAGTATATACAATTTTGTAATTAAATTTTCATTATTTTTAATCAAAAATATATATAAATTAACTGAACTGTAGTAAGTTTTGAAAATAATTTATATATTAAATACGAAAAACATTTTCGACTAAGTTATTATAAAAATCGTGAATTATTTAATACAACTCCTTACTTCCTATTTTTTTCAATATGTTTCTGGTGCAAATTTTGATACTATTTCAGCTTAATAAGTTATATATTTTTAAGCAATTGCTTTACCATTTTTAAAATATTAAAAACTTAAATAGTTTAATATATAAATAATTTTTAAAACAGTATTACTTTCAGTATTACAATCCCAGATTTCATTAACAGAATATTTAGATATTTTATCCTTAGCTTCTACCCACTAAAACCAGAAAAATGTAGAGAAATAAATGTTACAGACAGTAAATTTCAATAAGAGAGTGGGCATAACTATAGATCTATGCACGATAAATTATGAACTTAAATTGCGAATATATTCCAACAATTTGTTAGCGAAAAATAATAAAATCAGAACATATTATTTCGGTTAATCCGTATTATTATCTTATCTGAATCTACAATAGTTTACAAAATAATAGTTATAATAAAATGACTCCATAATCTAAACACCAGCGACAATATTTATATTTAAAAGCTTAAAAGTGGTTATTAAGATAAGAGTTTGTCACAAATACCTAAATATTAACTATAATAATAATTAAGAGTACGTTGATTACTTTGTATATTAAATATTATAAAAGTAAGCTCTTACTGACTTTGAAGGAACTAACGACATTTAAAACCTGTCAACAAGAGAACTTTGCATACTCTGTAATACTCAAAGGCAATCCTTGCTAAGTCTGGAAGTTGTGTATATCAAAACATGCTAATTAAAATTAAAGAACTGCTACGGATATTTTGAAAAATACCTATGTATCCTCAAAATATTTAAAAATTTTAATTACTGCTTTAATATTAAAAATATTTTAAAAACACATGAAATGACCATTCATTATCTTAGTTTCTATCATCTAGATCAGTGCCGTCCAAAGCAGGGCGCATAATTATGCAAATTTTCCTTTGATGTACTTTGGTAAAATCACATCATTTTATTTTTATGGTATACCAAATAAATTAATTTAAATTTATCACACTAAATTTAACATTATAACCGTAGTTTTATTTTTCTCCAAAACTATGAACTTATGTATTAATTTATGTGGCCCCCTAATCTGTACAGTGATTTGTATTGACCCGCGATCGCATCTGATCTGGATAGCCCTGATCTATATAATTTTTAATAATATATTTTTCAATTGCATATCTAAGACTCTTATCGAACCGTTTCTCAATCGAAAATATATTTTTGAAGTAAGTACGTATAAATTGCAAAAGAATACAGTCGAAGATGTACTTTTGGAGTAAATAGGATGTAAGTTATTCATAAATACAACACATAATCACTGTTTAATAATTGTGAATGTGGGGGCACTTTAAATGTCTAAATATTGCAATTGATTTTTAGAATTCAACAACTACTCATCTATGGATTTACTTGATTTTCTATATAAATATATTGTATATGGAATTCACAAATAAAATTTGATGCTCATAATTTATTTATTCTAAACTAACCGGTTTAAAAAAAAATTTCCAACTAAATAATTATAGATATTCTGCCATATGAATAAAATTTGAAAAATCTGCAAAAAGACAATAAATAATTTTTTTTTAATAAATGCTTGCAATTATAATGATAAATATCTACAAACATATTAATTAACTAATTTTATTTATTTTGCAATCAACGAGTGTTGTACACTAAGTTTACTGCTGTGATGTTTTGCTGTTCGAATCGCTGTTTGATTGAAAATTTGAAACACTTTTAATCAACTCCATTGCAAACGTAATGTACTATTTTAAAGATGGAATGCTAACAATAAATTATTTTTAAACACAATTTTATAAAAATTAATCAATTGGTGAGTGTAAAAGTCAGCATTGATCGTAAGCTCTATAGAGCAAAATCTGTAGGTTGGCAAGAAATTTTTTTAATGGATTCAATTGATTTTTTTTATATAATAACGATTAGTAAATTTTTTATTTAAACGTGTATAAAATGTAGTTTTATATATAATCAAAAAAAATAGTTAAGAATGAACATAATTTTAATATATAACCTACGTTAAAGAATATCTTGAAAGACTGCCTACTATTGTTGGTATTCTAAGAACTTTAATATCGATGATATTTTTGCTAACAAATTTTAATATAATACATTACATAGTTAAATTATATCGCATGATTACAACCAAAGATATACACATGTTTCTACATTAAATGTGCTTGGATGCAATAGAATAAGCCCGGTTTATATAAAGGTTTGAAGTTTGAGTTCATCTAGTGTGACCTCAAGCTAAATTAATTTGTCAGGGTTCATCATCCATAATGATGATTGGTTCTGAGACGTAATTGCAATTATTACTAGGTATCATAATTTTTACAAACTGTTTAAGGGTTTCATTTCACTTCAATGTTTGGTTCTGATTCAAAATCAAGTTTAATTATAAAGAAATTGTGTAGCACGAATACTGTTAGATTAAAAAATACCTTATAAATAACTACAACATATCAACTCAATTTTACTTTTTAGAATGTTAAATTCGCTTTTAGACAGATTCCAAAAGAAGTGTACAACAAGTACACTTTTAATACACTAAGTGACAGTATAGAACAAACTTAAAAGAGTATTCCAGCCATCGGATTAATATTTGGGAACCATTTATTATCATAGCTTCATTTCACTGTTTGCAAGGAAAGCAAGTTAAAGGTGCTTTCCTAGAAACTGATGTGTGATCTCCATAACAACAGAACAGAAAATTTAAAACGGTTAAAGAATTACAATTTTTTGTAACTCAGCATGTCCACAGAATAGCATTTTTTTTATCCCCAAAAGATATTTGGAAGAATCTTATAATAACAAGATAAAAGTAAAATCACGACTGAACTGTTATTCTATTTTTTTCAAATTTTCTAATTTAAATTTCTATAACGAAAATTATCATAAACCCTGTTACATGTGCTATACTTTTTTTATTTTCAAATATAAACCTAATTTAGAAAATTTTTCAATTACATATAAAGATATAAAGTCCCACCAGAATATCGAGGATAATTGGAAAAAGTGGAAAAAGACTCGGATTTTAATAATCAACTTTATTTACAATTAAATTTGTCATTTATCCTTTCTTCTATTTAACCGCCACTATTAAACTATAAAATTTCTCCATTCCTTCTTACCCACGTGTGTTTGTCCGTTAATCTATTCGGAATCCTGGTTTCAGCGTGGATTTCTATAACTACCTTATCAAGCTGGTATATAAAGCTATTTTTTCATTTTTAATTACAAAATTGATTGCAAATTTATAGAACTACCCACGTAAACATATAATATGCAGTATTCACTATATATAATGCTTATAAACATACTTTATTGATTTCTTATACATTGGAAATAATATTGACCTCTATATATAAAATACCTTATGCATTTCACATTTCTCATGTCTTTCCGATTTTAATTTTTATAGAACTACCCTCGTAAGTATATTATATGCAATATTTACTATATATGCTGTTTCTGAACTTTAACGATTTCTTAGTCACTGAAAATTATGTAGACCGGATATACATTATATAGTTTTTCACTATAGATTTTGTACTCACCGGAGGCGGTATATTATTGATTTGCTGTCCTGCTATACCATTCTCACTGCCATTGATTAGCTTTTCATTAGAGCTTCGAACATCACTGTTAAAAATACGACTTGAGCGATGATTGACGTCATCTTCCATAATTGTAGTACGTTTGAGTGCCTCTTGTCGTTCCTAAAATATTAAAATAAACATTAATAAATTCACTTTCAAGTAGTAAAAATTTCAGTTCATAAAAAAAATGTTATGGTATAATACTTTGCCACATGATGAATACAATATGCAACATAGCTTCGACTTTTACGTACCTGGTATGTGCTGAACACTACCAAAGACTTGCCACCAGTTGCCGGTCGCATTGTTGCGTTATGTTCCATTGCGTCAAAAATTTGCTTTTTTTCTTTTTGTTATACTTTAAATTTTTATTGCAACTTGTTTTTTTTTTCACTTTTGAAACAATTCCAAATTATTTAGCGTCAATTTGTCTGAGACGCGTGCACGTCGGTTTGATTATATGAAATGAATCTACTTAGAAGTCAGTCACGGCTTTTGATTTGTATTGATTCGAAAATAATTAAGTCCAATAATATCGGAATAGTTTGATTTACAAGTAATTTGGCAAAAACACTGACAGAACGATTTTGTTAACTGCCTTTTTTAGCCTCATAGCAAAATTAATTAAAACCTTTACCATCGATAAGATAAGAATTGTTTAGTGCTTTAGTGTTTTAGTGCGATGTAGCAAACGAGTGAATCACTACAACCAGAAATGATATCATTTTCTTCATTTCGTGCGAGATAAAAATTCCAAAATAATTAAAACAAACTTAAAACAAAGTAAAAACACAGTTAAAACAATAGAGCGCGGCGTCTAGTAGAGACGAGTACCTCTCAAAATCGACTTTATACGCGGCAGTGGCGAATGCAACTAACCAATTGGCACCGTTAAGAGTAGCAACTAACAAGCTTTATGGGTCTGTCGATAGCATTTGTGAAAAGCTTGTGACGTTTGAACGTTTGAACAATAAGCGAGTGAGCCAGCAGATACTCGTACATGAATGACTTGGCCTGGCACGTTACTCTGAAGTTGGCAAATTCATTGTTGGATACATGATTTTGTACTTTTTTTCTAGTATTTGCATTTGCTCATAACACCTACCTGAGCCATTGCGAACTGGACAAAGTGGCTTATTGTTAATAATTGTAATAAAAAATATAATAAATGTTGTGTAGTAGTAAAAATATAGTACGAAATTTGTGTAAATTCCATTGATATGGGCTATGTTTGTTTATGTTTACATTTTTGTAAAGAAAAATATCATAAACAATAGTCGACTATATGCAATCATTTTCAATGCACTACGTTTGGTACCAACAAAAACAATATATCTTATTTTCCAATAGGGTCAATTGTGCAAAAGGGCAAACAAATTTCAAGTTTAGTCAAAATTCAGTCAGATAAAAGTTATTGCAACTAACCAGTTAACCTGCATTGTTATACGTATCTTCTGTTAAATATAAGAAGCAGAAAAATAACAACTAGCCAAAGAGAAATATTCGAGACGAAGTAGAAAAGAGCATGTATTGTAAGTTTTCTACGAAGATCAAGCCTTTCGAAATACCTATAACATAAAAGGGAAATAAATATAAGCTATATACCAGCGGGAGCCTATCTCAAAAGAGATGCTCCCGCTAGGCCTTAAAAATTGACTACTAATCAACGAGCAATATTCGAGATGAAGTAGAAAAGCGTATGTATTGAAAATTTCTAATGAAAGCTTTTTAAAATATTTACATGAAACAGAAATAAATAGAAACTATATACTAGCGGGAGCTGGTATATATATTTTGGTATTTAGCCTTTTTTAGTGCTTAAAAGAATAACGACTTGTTAAAAGTTATATTTAAGATGAAGAAAAAATGCGCATGTACCATAGATTTTCCACGAAGATTAAACTTTTTGATATACCTATAATATAAAGCAGAAATAAATAGAAGCTACATATTATTGATAATCCGTCTCGAAAGAGATGCGGTTCACTTAGGTCTTAAAAAACGGTTCCATAGGGATACTACAATTTTAGGGTACATTAGCTGTTTTAAAGAAATTTAGGTAAATATCTGAAGCATAAATAATAAAGGAAGTTAGTTTTGGCTTTGAATTAAGGTATTGAAATGTTTTGAAAAATTCCTTTCACATAAAGTCATTCATTATTTACTAATCAAAGTATTTCAGATTACATATTGAACTATTATATTTTTTGACGGTCATGTTCAATTATAATTATAAAATTCTTAATTACTTTCGAACCCTTGTAACTTATAAATAGTTTCTTCTCGTCATATTCGACAAAAAAATTAACATTTAAAAAAAATAATATAGTTTGGTTTATAAGAACACATAAGTGACACATTAGCTTATATAGTTGATATATCCAAATCTAAACCGACCGCTAATATATTTTTGTATATAGAGGCGGTATATGTATATGAATATATATAAGTAGTATACCTATATGGATATATATAGCGGTAACATAGATTTATATGGGTGGTATATATGGATATATATGGGTGCCTATATAGATTTTTTTTTGTAAAAAACTGTACAACAAAACAATAAGTCTGTTATTAAATTCTGAATGAAATGTATTGGCATTAGTCAGTGCTACAATCTGTCAAATATTAAATTTTGATAGATTACAGGATTCGATTAAATTTGTAGGTAAAATTAAAATGGTGTTTTGTGTTAATTAAAAAGTTATTATAGGCATTTTTATAATCTGTCAAATAAGTTAATATTTTCTACGTCGAATTAGAGAAGATTGGAGACGTTTTTGTTGGCACATTGGAGTTTTGCCTATGCTTAGTATTGGTAGAGTAAAGGGATTAAGTTGAGAACACTTTGGAACCACAAACAAGTATTTTCAAGTATTTTCGCGAATATTTCCAATTAAGGTTTACAATAGATCGATTAATTAGATTAGAAACTTTGTAATGGTAGATTGAGCAAGAGTCTAGTGTTATTGTTCTATTTGCTTTTTAGAAATTTAAGCAAGAGTATTTTTTTTTGTAAAATAAAACGCCTTTATTTATCAATTCCATAATTTGTGCGAAATACATCGAAAATTTTTATTATTGAACTTCCGTTCAAATAATATCATTGAAGCTCATGAATTGCTTGAATTGCTTAAAAACCTGCTGTTGTTGTTATAGCCCGCTGTAATCTGTAAAACAGGTAACATGAAATGAATTACATGACGAATACATAGGTTGGGATGTGGATGGCTAATGGTTGTGTAAGAAGGGATTATTAGGTAGTGGATTAATATGACTCCTGTTTGGTTTGCTTTGCTTGCCAGAAATCGAATTTTAACTTATGAGCGGAGCTTGACATTCAATAAAGAGTGATTACGAGACTTAAACCCGTTCACTTCTAAAATCTGTAACTGTAATATTTAAATTCAAATAATTAAATCAATTTTTGTAGCGATATGTAGTACAAATTGCAATAAAAAAATATTACACAAATATATTTTTACTGCCAGTTTGTATAACAAATTTATTCATATCTAAATCAATTTAAATAAAATTTAATATAACCTATGTATAACAAACATAACTAAATACCTTAATAAATAATAAAGAAAATCAATTTATATGGCAACTGATATGTATGTTCATAGATTTCTGTCATTTAACATACATATGTCCAAATTTAATTACCAGAAAATCTAATTAACTTTCGATAACTTTAAAAACTGAGAAAAAGTTTGTGTTAGAAAACACAACTTTATATAATTAGATAACCACGAAGTAAGATAAATATGTAGATTAACGTACAAATAGATGAACAGTATTAGATCTAGCAGACAAAAAAACGAACATTATTAGGTGAGGCAAGTTTGAATACAAATGCTTTCAATACTAATATAAAAAAAATAAAATGCAAAACCAAATAAGCCCTTATTTACATTTAGGTGATATTTCTGTAGAAAACCAAAGATCGTAATTAGTACTGTAAGTTTTGAGAAAAGTTTTTTCTCTATGTGATAGATATGATTACTTTCGATTTATGGCAAACTTTATTTTACACATCTACCAATGAAGCGAACATCAAGACATATCTGTAACAACTAAAATAGTAGCATGAATAATTTCACCTATAAGATATAGAGCAATCTGAAGCTCTCAATCAGTTAACAAGAAATTCCACTTAAGATACTATTTCAAAGATAAAGAACTTAAAGATAGATAAAGATAAAGGCTTAAAGAACTATTGTTACTTAGATATGTATATGAGTACTGCTGTTAGAATTACTTTTTAAAATATTGTCAGTATATGTGCATGATTGTTATACTAATACTAGAAATATGAATTGAAATATAGAAAAAAGCAACAATATCCAGTTTAAAACATATATGCTCAGTGGCAAATATTTTTCAATAGCCAATAGAATTTGAAAGAAACAAGATAGAGTTTAATGTTTCTCATAAGTTAGGCATGGAATTTTAAATGTTATTAAAACAAAAAAACTCGTATAAAACATTTTATTGAGTTCTTAGAATGGCAAAGAAAGTATTCTGATTCATACATGCCTAAACCCATTGACCTACAGATTTGCGTCAACCTGCACACCTCTAACTAATAAACTGCCATCTAATTTCAATACTGCTAATCATTTAAAAGGAAGAAGAGTTAGATAATTTCATTACAAATATTAAACTGTTAAATAGTTAATGAGAATTTCTGTACAACTCTATGAAGTAAAGTAAATTGCCTCGTGTATCAGTGTCCATCAATGGCTATAGTTCAAATTTTCGAGGCCCCTTTTCTTACCGAATTGATTGAGTTGTCATCATGCAAAATTAGAGGCTTGTCACGTTGGTTCACTTTCACTTAAATGGGGGCGTCGGGAGTTTTGGCGTTTTTTGTACGCTGACCTCTTGTCTGTGTATGAACAACAGATCTAATCTCTAAACGGCGCTTTTGTTTGAGCTCCTGTGGACTTTGGGCATAAGGCCGTCACTTGAACCAAACCTAACCTAGTAGTTATCTAGTAAATAGTTTAGAGAAAAACGAAATTCTGCGTTCAAGTGGAATTTTTTAACCCTTCCAGTATTATTATTATTGAAGAAATAATAATACAGCGCAATATACAAAAACTATTCTTCTATCCCTTCTAAACTGTTTCTTCTTTTACACCTCTTAACTTAACGATCTTCTCTGTAGTGATTTTTGTTTTTAATATGATGTATTAAATTATTAAAACTTTTTTCATTAAACATTTACGAATATTGCATATATTATGTTAATATATTAAGAAAAAAATTACATATAAAATGCACAACAAACAACTATAGCACTAATAAGCTCGCATAATGTGCTGTACCGCAACAAAATAACAAAACGTGCTGCAATACGTTCATTGCTTACCAAAAATAAATAAATACACAAAAAAAAATGCTTATTTTGATAAAATGCGCAACAGTAATTATCCACCTCAACTGAAATTGGCGAATTCTCTTACACAAAGCGATATTAGAGCCGAAAATTAAAATTTTAATATATTCACCACTCACCTTGCGTTCGCTCTCTTGAAATCCATTTTTAAACATGCGCTGGTGAGCTCGTTTAAACTCATCCATTAAAGCGCTATGGTGATCTCCAACATTGTTGTTCGTGTTGTTGTTGTTGTTGCTGCTGCTGCAGTTACCGCCAGCGGCAGTGCTGTTTCGTTGCTGCTCTATGCAATTAACATTTGCACTGTTAATTGTACGAGCTACGCTGCTACTGCCGCCGCTGCTGTTAGTTGGAGGTGGTGGTATTGCTGTTGGTGCTGTGCTTCGACTGGTTGCTATTTGTTGCTGACGAAGCGTGCTTGACTGCTGTTGCTGATTATTGTGACTGATATTCGTTTTGTTATTGCAATTAATTTGACTACTATTATTTACATTGTTATTGCTGTTGCTGTTGTTAAAGTTGAAGTTGGAGTTAGAGTTAGAGTTGGAATTGTTATTGGTATTGGTATTGGCTGCTACTGCGGCGTTCAAGCGCTTTTTCTGTAAAAATATAAATATTGTAATATAAATCAAAAAGAAGAAAAAAAATATATAAATTATACGCAATTAAATATTAAGCAATAATGAAAGTAATTTTGATTTTGGCATCTTACGTACTTCTTTGCGCTTCTTCAGTTCCTCTGTGATGGCACTGGAAAGGGAACTGCCGCCAACATCACTGTTGCTGGGGCGACAATTATTTAAGGTATTTGTTGTATTTGCTGTAAGTTTGTATTTCGTATGTGTCATTGTATCATTACTATTGCTGCATCTTTGCATCGTGGATTGTTGAGACTGACACTTCTCCACTATGCCATTGCGATGTACTTCCACTTGTACGCTTTTTGTGTCAGTTTGTATTGTACCGTAGCAATTGTTTTGCAAATTCTGTGACATTTTCATGTTAAGCTCAGTAATTTGCACCGGCGGCGGAGGAGGCGGTATGGCTGCAGTACTTGTCGTCTGATGATATTGTGGCATATTTATTGTATTATTTTTTTCTTGTTGTATCGTTCTCCGTGTTTGTGTATTGGCAACGTATGTATTATTAATGGATGCTCCATTTTCAGAAAGTTTTATAATTGTTTTGTTTACTTGTCTAGTTTTCGACTTTTTCTCCTCGACTGTTAATGTTGAATCACGTGAACGATGTTCAGCGTAGAGACTTTCATTCCAACATGCTGTTACATTTGGTTCCTCTCGAACAGCTGTTAAACGCTTTGATTTAGCATCTGCCCAACATGGGCTCTGATCACCAGTTACTGAGCTTGCTGAACTATTATAGCCGCTAGATTCACCAGGAAAAAGATCACAACCAGCTGCAGTACGCACAACCATTTCTAATTTATTTGAGCCCTTCATTACAGCTACAGCTTCACTGAATAAAACATCTGAGAAATCTATGCTGTTAACGCTTAGTATCTGATCACCTTGACGTAAACCAGCTTCACGTGCTACACTCTTGTCCTTTGTAAATTGTACAAATATTCCTGGCTTCCATTCTGGTCCTTTACATATACCCAAACCTAGCTTAGTACGTGGTGCTACGTTTAATACAATATTGATATCATTGTTACGATTATCTCGATCTAATACCGATTTGAATGAACTCTCCGATGGTGTATTACTAACACTTGCACCTTTTATTACATTCCATGAAATACGTTCGTTTTCCTTGCTGTAATTTGATTAAATAAAAAGTTTTTAATTGCAAAATGTTTTTATATTTGTAATATTTTAATTTAAAATTTAAAAATTAAAAATTTAATCAATAATACAATTAAAACATATACCATATATTGGTTTAAGTATAAAAGTCACCCCTTCTATTATAGTGTTATTTTATAAGCATGCTTTTAATAATAGTTTAGTCGTAGAATGAACTTAGCCGAAAGAAATATATAAGACGGTCTTATTTCGGAAATATTTAGTATAGATTCAGTTATATAAATACGGTAATCCTAAGAACCTATTTAAGCTTGTCGGCCTATTGTGTTCCCATATAAAACTATTTTGAATTCTTAAAAAGCCTAAAATGCTATTTGAAAAAAAATAATGCAATTTGTTTTGTGGCTATTAGGGTGTTTGTAAAAAATATTTTTCTGATCAGATTGGATATATTATTTTCTACGAACACAATATCGGCACCAATCATCTTTTTGTCGATTGCAAAGCAGCTTTCGATGTTAATACGACTCTAAAAAATGACGTCAAGTACTACGCGTAGCTCCGTCGAGGTAGGAATGAGTGTCTCCGAATCTTTTGATACTGTGCGAGACTTCAGAAAAGATATTCGCTTATCATCTAACCGTTTTTTTTAAATCTCTGATCCTGTACGAGTTGACTACGACTACCGTATCCATATGTAGCACGTGCATTATGAGCTTTATCAAAACATTAATATAATATGAATTAATATCCAATGGTTTCGCTGGTTTAGTCGTGTCGTGAGAATGGGTAAAAACCGGTAACAGGTTATTATGGCCAAAAAAGTAAATAAGTATATTTACTTATTATATATAGAATATATCTATATTCTAGTATATTTCATTTTTGTTTTATTTTTATGTTGAGAAGGATCTGGTATCTCATTTTATTTGTTATAAGAGTTTAATCTGAGAAACTATGGGTGGTTAAAATATTTTACACTAATCTTTTTTCAAAGGTAAATATATGTAGATAAAAAAATCACACGCTCAATATTAGTCGGAAACTAAATAGTAAAAGTGTTAGATATTAAAAAGATTTATGATATATTTTGCACTTAAGATAAAGATAAATTGTTCAAATTTTACGATTAAAACAAAAAGTCAAATAATAAATACAGTAAACTTACAACTGTTATATTTATAATAATGTATTTATATAACATTCTTAAATATTTACACAAATAGTTCCTTCCAAATATAAGAGAATTTTAGTACAAAATTGATTTGGCGTTCCTCTAGGTGAACCTAAATCTTCATTAAATTAACGTAGGTCGAATAAATTCCATAAATAGGAACACTATCAACTTTAATGCAAATAAAATTATTTTTTATAATTTATCTTATCATGTGAGTAAATAGTAAATTCTAAGATGCTGGGTAAGTTTCGTTAGTTAATAATAAAAGGGAATTAGTAGCAACGTAGAGCAGCACCAGAACAGTTGTTAATACCATCAGAACTATGTCGGGTAGTGTCACAACCCTGGAAGCACCTGATGGTGGCTGGGGCATATTTGTTTGCATAGGCATGGCAATGCCATTTGTAAGTAAATCTTGATAATGCATATAGCATATGTTGTTACTAATTGGATAACTATTTTTAACAAAATAGATTAGTGGTCTTGCTGCTTTGCCCTCTTTTGGTTTAATTTTTGGTGACTTTCTTAAAAGTATTTCTGCTGAAACTAGTGCGATTGCTTTCATTACAAGTGCGTTTTTCTGTGCATTCAGCTTTGCCGGTTTATTCTCAGGATCATTATTTAATCGTTTTGGATTGCGGAATGTGGGAATACTCGGTGGTGTACTATATTTTTTGGGCTCATTTTTTCAAATATTTGTTACGTCTACAACAACACTTTTACTTTCATTCAGTTTAATACAAGGTGTAGGCTTTGGACTTATTGTACCGACGTCGTATACTACATTCAATAACTATTTCGTTAAAAAACGCGTTATGTGGATGAGTTTTGCGCAATCACTTATTGGCGTTGGTACTATGGTTTATCCTGTGCTTATGCAGAAATTAATGGAATCATATGGATTTCGTGGTTGTTTATTAATACTATCAGCTATTAACGCGCATGCAATTTTGGGTATGGTACTAATGCAACCAGTGGAATGGCATATGCGACGCATACAAGTAGTAGACCAAGAATTGGTGGAGAAGATAATTAATTCAAAACAAAATAATTTAATTGAAATTAAAAAAAACACGGTCGAAAAGAATAACAAGGAGAAGCTTAACATAATAGAAACTAGAAATAGTGTAGTGCCAAGTAACAATGTTCAACCCAATAGTTTAAAGGAAACAGAAGTTGATGCCGATAATGGTAATCATTTGTCGCCTCTTATGGTTTACAGTCGTAAGAGTTCATATAAATTTTCAAAAGAAGACTTAAAAATACTTGCCAGTCGTTCATCTAGCATAACCAGTTTAGGTAATTGGACTGGACCAATAATTGTTAGTGATGCATCTCCAGAGATGACACATTTCCCTACTTCACAACGTTCGTCGGTAATTAGTAGTATTAAAGGACCAATTCAATTACGCAAAAGTAACTGGCAGTATATTATCGATTTCCTCGATCTAACATTAATGAAAAATCCAATATATGTTAACATCGTTTTAGGTATCTCATTTGCTTTATACTCAGATATAGCATTTTTTACACTACAACCAATTTATATGTTTGAATTGGGTTTTAGCAAAGTAAGCATAATTATTTGAAAAACTGCCAAAAAAATACAAAATATTTCTCTTCCAGCCAGATACAGCTAGTATAATCGCTATAGGAGCCGCTGCAGATTTAATATCACGCATATTTCTTGCATTCTCAGCGGTGTTTATTCAAATGCCATCCCGCTATATTTATTTAGCTGGCTCTTTTTTCACAGTTATCTCAAGATTTGGTGAGTAATTACAAGTATCTTTTTATTCAAAAACATATCTATTAAATTATCATTTCGAGTTACAATACGAATATAACTTTATGAGGCAATGTCATAAATTAAAGCTATCTCCGGGTGCTAACAGTTCAGAAATTATTTGTTGTATAATAAAATAATAGTCAAGAATTTTTATTTATTTTTTAATAAAATGATATATTAGAATAATAAAAATTACAGAAAAGAAACTGGAACATTCATCAAAGTAAATATTCTTTAATCTGTGTTAAAAAAAACCATGACAAAAAAAATACAAAATCTGACCTAATTAAATTTTTTTTTTAAACAATGAAATTTATAAAGCTTATAACAATATTCAGATCAAAAACCTCGCCAATATATAGTATTTTAAATCAAAACTCATTTTAATATTCAAATATAAATACAATTTTCTGCAGAAAACATAATTATAATTTTATAGACAATTAATTTTATATTAAAATAATTTTTTAACGTCTATTTTGATGAAAGAAACCAAATTTCTAATAAAAACTCTTGTATTTAATAGAGAGGTATTTTGAACAGTAGTAAGTTACAACAATAACATTTTATTATTTATTAATTAATTAAATTTTTAGCTGACCATACAGCTGTTTTGAGTATTGCCAAATACCCATCATCAGTGATCTTGAAATTATTTTTTATATTTAATCATTCGTAAATAATTTTTTAAGACTGTAAGTACCAAGATAACACTGACTCTGATATTCAAATTTGGAAGAGCACGAAGTCAGCCTTTAGTACTTGCAGGCTCAAAAAATTGTTTACGAATGTACAATTAATTTCAAAATTAAATGAATTCTTTTTGAAATTTAATTTATTTAATAAAAATTTATTAATTTTCAACTTATTCACTTATAATTAATATTTTTAAAAAAATATAAAAACAGCAATAAAAAATCGTTTAAATATAAATAACCTCAACATTATTTGCTAAAGATAATTAAATAATGAAAATGTCCTCATTCCAAATTCGATTACTTGCTAGATATTTTTATTATTAAAATATCTTTATATGTTATTGAAATTAATATTGAGAAAAAAAAACTCATAATATCAATAAATATTGATATAGAAATTAAATCTACACATTCAAATGTCATAGTAGCCAATTTCTCAATAAAATAAATCGTATTAAGAAATGATATGTTATCTTATCACCTTAATGACTTGAAATGTGTATATTCACAAAAACATTTTACCGATAAAAGCAAGAGATCATATATTGATCTTGACAATAATTATATAGTTGTCGGTCTGCTTGATGTTGAAATATCAACTACGATTTCGTCATAATATAAGAATGGAGAGTCGAAATTCAAACAAGTGCAATGACCAAGTTATCTATGCACCAAGCATTATTAGAATGACGACCCGGTCTTTGAATTTAAATCTGTGCTCAGGTGAAGTTATATAATTGTTACATTTAATGGCATAAAAAAAGAAAAGTTGATTATAATGTATTATTCAGCAAAGAGCTTAATAATAAAAAATTTAAATAATAATGTGAATAAGTAAAAAAGTATCAACGGGTGGCTTTCTATAAAATATTTCCACAACAATGAAATTGCGAAAGCAATTTCTTGTTTGAAATAGAAACAAATATATATTGACATTAATGAAATTGTTTACAATAATATTATCTTATATACTATAATATTTTTTCTTCATCTCTTCAACGTACAGAATCGTTTCTTTTCTTCATATAGTTTCAAAATTAAGACTTCAAACCTTAAATGCAAGATTTAACCGAAATGTAAACCGAAGCAAAAAAATTTTCATTTGTTTTGATATGAATTATTGCAATACCAATACTATCCATTCATCTATTTTTGAAAATAAGGAAATGTCTATTAAATGTTATTTATAACATTGTTTATATAAATATTTAATATAATATAATCCAGTATAGATATAATACTTCTTTACTCTCTGTGATGTTGTAAATATGCAAGTTATTTTAAAATTATTTTATACCAAAGATATGTATAAACTATACTAATTCATTTAATTATGCATTATCTCTTATTATTTATAACCAAACATTATATTAATTACCATAATATTATTAATATTTACACATATACTCGTATATAGCATTTCTACATGTATTTGATTTTACTGGTATGGCTTTAATAACAGCAGTAATGGGTTTCTTAAGAACTTGGATTCATGTACCACTACCTCTAGTGTTTGCTGAGTTTTTACCAAAAGAAAGGTAGTACTAGAAATTTTTATTTTTATACGTATATTTTGTATTTTTATATAAATTCTCTTCTTTTAATTTAAATTGTAGATTTGCTACCGGTTATGGACTCTTTATGTTTTTACAAGGAAATATAATGTTTGCCATTGGTCCACTTATTGGCTATTTACGAGATAAGACACAAGATTACAATTTAACATTTCATTGCCTTAACATTTTTATGGCTCTTTGTGCAGTGCCTTGGCTTATTGAAATTATTTGTGTTAAATTTCGAAGAAAGAATAAAATCGAATGTTAAAAAATATTAAAATTAATGTGAAAAAGTTAGTATAGATTTGATCAGATGTGAAGAATTGTTGAAGAAAGAAAAAACAATTAACCTATATATCAGTTATACAAAAATCTAATAGAAAATACTATATATATTTTTTAAATAAAAGTTATTAAAATAATATCTATGCTAATGGAAAATTGGAATATATGATGATATGAAGCTCAGCTGAGTCTGCCTTATGGCAGTTTCTGCAGATTAAGTTCGCTGATGTCCGACGAAGAGATATTGTGTCGCTTCCAAGACTTATTAATATTAAGATACAAGTACCTATGTGTAAAACTCTACAACTTACTCTACAACACATCCAATTTAGAAATAGAGCAATGCTCGTATATATTAAGTGGTTTGATTGGTGAAATTATTGAGCCTCTCAAGCTAATTGAAAGACTTCCTGATCTTCTTATTGTTATAATGTTCTTGTTTTAAAGTAGGAGAAGTCTTATTTCAGAAAGTTAACCGAAAGCACGCGACAAGTAGTATAAAAAAAATTTTAGTTATTAAGAAGTTATGAATTTGTTGTTTAAATTTGTACGAAAACTACTGATATTTAATTTCCAAATTTAATGTCTTATAAAACATCGTAAATAAATTTTACAGTTCGCTAGCGGCTTATTTAAAATATGTATTTTGAAATATGCTTCTGAGCGAATTTTTAGCATCTGGTATCTGTAGTAAAGTAGGTTAAAAGTAGTCTATAAAAATTTTAATCCGAAACACAAAGATAAAACAAAGATAAAATAAATTTAAGTAACTAAACGTACTGCGAGAAGACATTCTTTATAGTATATTCATTTTATACCATTTTGATATATAAAAATATAGATACTTTAATAAAATAAATTATCTGAAAAAAATTGCAGTGATTGACTACGAAGCATTAAAAAATTTACTTTTACACTAATAGCAAGCTTCAAACTTTATATTTAAAGAAAATAGTGTAAAGACTCATCATCTGTAAACTTATACCCACTAATAGGTATCCACTTTTACTAATAGGCATCTATTTTGATGAAATCTAATGGGGAAAACTATAAAAAACCAAAAGTAGTACCCGTAGTAGTAAGTAGTGGTAGAGATATCAATAATAACATAACAATAACATCAAAATCTTGAGTGTGAAAAACTTTGATTCTACTCTTAATAGAATAATAGACAGAGTAGAATAGATATCAATACATATATAAGTTTCTAGTGAACCTTAATACTCTAGAATTAGTATTAGTTGGACAGTTTCAGTTCCAGTAAACTACTACCAATAACCGTATAAGTCTAGAAGTAAGTATTCAGTATGACAATGTTTTGACTATCTGCATACATATAGATATTAATGGATTTTAGACCTTTGAATACATAAATAGGAACACAGATCTCATATATAGTCAATTACCTTGCATTAGTTGCATAAGTTTTGAAATCTATAGTGCATCGAATCATAGTTTTTTGTTGACAAATAAATAATGCTTTCAGTCTATTAATCGAGAATAGGACTTGTTTCTATTGTAGCGAGTTTCTCAAGGAAATTCATGATAGTAATCTTATCTTTAATATCTAAAAAAAGCGTGACAGTAATCTTGAAATTAATAATTATGCAGACAAGCATTAAATTTGATTTAAATGTCAATATGATAGTAGTGATTATTGTTACTTTAACAGAAGTTGTGGTGTTTAAAAGAGAGGTTTCGAAAAGTAGTAAACTACAACATATATTAATTTATATATTTTTATATTATTTTAATTAATTGAATTTTTGGCTAACCGTACAGCTGTTTCGAGTATTGCACACATACCCACCATCAGTGCTCTTGGAATAATTTCTTATATTTAATTATTCTTAAATAATTTTTTTGAGACTGCAAGTTCCAAGGATTGAACTCATGCCCTGCTAAATTTGAAGCTCAGAGCCAAAGTTCATTAGCGAATTGACCCAAAGTTGTACTTGACTTTTATGCTCGCACTTCTTTCTGGAGTTTTGTTAATTTGCTGTGAAAGTTCATTAACTAATTTATTTACTGTGGTTTATTAGAATGAAATCATAAACCAGCTGTAGAATAATTTAATTAATTATATTTTTATTTTTAATTGTTAAATTTAATATTATGAAAATATATAAAATATCTTTTAACTACATAAAAACATAACAATATGTCTTGTAAAGATTCTTATATATTACTTGGATTCATGGATTCTTTTAATATATTTAAAATTAATTATTGTGTAAATTTACATTTTTTTAAATTGTTTTTTTTTTAGCTTATTTACATGCTGTACATGCATTTTTATATAAAATGAACAATATTTAACTTACTCTTTTGTGGGCAACATCCCAATGCCACGAACTTTCAATGTGATACGATCCTGACTGGTAACAAATTGAACGAATTCTTTGTGAACTGCATCGTCAACGCGAAATCCATTTATACGCAATATTTGATCACCAACCTAAAAAATATAATTAAATTTTACTATATATGCATATGAATTGTTTAAAAGTGAAAATAAAGCCTAAATTTTAATTTGAACAACAACATAAGTTATTCTACAAATTTTTGTGTAGAACTTTTTCCACAGTAAAGTCACGTACGACACAAAAACTTTAATTGGAACGTGTTGAACACACCCGAATACAGTCAATACATAACGCACTTGTACCTTTTTTTTTATCAATACTTAGAATTTCAAATATTGGAGAAAATTACTTTCTAATTAAAATAGAGTATTTGGGTGAATAATTACAGATTTACTTGCATATCTTTTTACTTACACGTAAACCTTTAAGATCTGCTTCGCTATTTCTTTCCACATTGGACACAAAAAAACCAATACCAAATTCTTTACCACCTCGCACTGCAAATCCATATGATGGATGCGTATCAGGAGCTACAAGTAAACGGCGAGCATGTGGACGGATAAGACGTAAGACACGTAATCTTGGACTCGTTGGTATTGCACACCATGATGATGCTGTAGTTAGCGTCATAACATCACTAGATGAACTAGTGATGGAGCCTTGAATGCTACTGCAATCAGTCAACATTTTGATGCATCAAATTTGTAGTACGATTTAACTGCAATTAAGAGAAAAATTAAAGATTAATTAATTAAAAATGTTTATATTATTAATTAATTAATTATATATAAGTATACTAAATGGAAGTGCAATAATTTTAAATATTAATACATAAATAATAAATATTTTAATATATATTTAACTTTAGTTATTTTTTTCTGACCCAAATGGAGTTGTGAGCCATTAATTGATCTGTATGATATTTATATTACGAAATCTCTATATAAAGATAAGCTCCAACATTATTACTTTAGTTCAATATTTAGAGTTAACCATGCAAAAAAATTGTCTACATGATACATACTTAATAATTTTTACATTTTAATATATTGACATCATTTAATTTTAAAATAAAGAGGCAATTAATAGACTATACAGTGATTATTAAGGCTTAGTTTTAAAAGTTCCCGACATACAAACAATTTTTTGGGTAATATTTTTTCCGTAATCTTTGAATCAAATTGCATATTATTTATATTAGTAATTTTTGTACGTAAAAGAAGGGAACATTCTTCTATTATCCTTTTCTCTCAGTGGAGCATAGGGCTAAAAAATTAGAGGAACATAGGCTATACAAAATATTAAAATTATACTATTATACTCTAACTTATGATCTAAATCTTATTAGTTGATAAATAGTTAAAAGTTTTTGCTTTAAAAGCTATACGGAAGTGACATCAATTAGGTGGCAAGTCTGTTACGTACTAATCAAAAAATGTAGACAAAATTGTAAATCGTTCAACTGAATTCTTAACTATAGTTACATATTTCTGGGGTTTCAGAAATAATTGGCAGTTAAATTTGTAGCACCAATTATACTTGTTCTCTACATTAATCCACCTAAACTGTGTAATAAAATCAGAGTAGCTGTCAAAAAATAAATGCCAAATGTTTTCTACTGTATGGATATATGTTAATGTATTCCATTATTAACATATGTTATAAATCAACCCAATCGATGTCTTAAAGAATACTGTTTTTTCTTGAATTTAAAATTTAAGTATTTAAGTTCTATAAATTTATAAATGCAATCATTTATTTTCTATGAGAAGAAGCAATTAGTAACATTATAAAAACTATTTATTTGAGGAAGTATCTTAAAGTCTAAAAAGTTTTATGTTGAAAAAGATATTTTTATATATTCTCATATGATTTAATGAAGTATTATTGTAATTTATTTTTTATTTTACGCTCATTATTCAGACAACACAATTTCTTAACACTTAAACCGTTTGGAACATAAATAATAATATTAATGATAATAATAATATTTTTATGATACATAAAAGTTGTCGAAAAACAATTTCAAACAATTTTTGATGCAGTTTATTTTATTTTGATAAACATATTATGCGTTCATTAATGCCCTTTAAAGTAATTTTAATTTATATCACCCATTTATTAAAATCATATATCTTCATCTTTACTATTTTATAAATCAATTTTTATTGAGTTTTTAATATTAAAAAAGTTGAAATTTAAAAACAGTTAAAATTTTATATCGCTTTTTTCATACATGATTTTATGATTGTACGTAAACATTATTCAATATACGACATGACACAGTTGTATCTTGTATCTAAACATTATTCAATATAACGACATGACATAGTTTCAATTGCAAAACAAACAAAATCATAAAAATATGAATTTTAGCAACTTTCAATTAGAAATCTCCTTTAAATTTTAGTAAACATTCTCCAGTTGATATTACCGGAACCACTTTCAATATGACCGATTGAAAGAGGAGAAATCAATTTCTTTGCATTAAGATTAAGCCAGCTTAAGCACATTTTGGCTCATAATATTTGTAACATATGAATGTCATACTTAAAAACTGGTATGAAAACGAAACTTCTAAAAAAATATAAACCAAAAAATAAATTCATTTTTTATATTTTAGAAATCAAAAGGAAAAATAACAATATATAACTCCAGCAAGTAAAAGTGAAAAAGTAGCTTTCTCCACAGATTTATGAACTTTTTTTCCGTATACAGTTTTTTTAATAGTTGCAAATCAGTAAGGAGCATCTTCCTTACTGCATTGACTTTTTCCTCACTTTAACAGTTTATTTATTAAAAGGCACAGCCGCCAAACTTGCAACATTGCACTATCGCACAGTCAATATAGTCGACAACACAATCTTAAGCGTTGCAGAAAACAAAACGTATCTCCAGACATTGCCGGCAACTTCCAAATTTAATAATAAATACTGAAAAATTATTCGGGAAAAAACTTATTCACGATTATGCAGCAAATGAGCTTGGTGTTGTTTGTGTTTGTTTAACATATTCCAAGCTTGGATGCACAGCCCACGAATGTGACGAGTGTGACATTGAATTAGCATTTGATATTTTGCACAATTGTTCAATCCTGTGCCAAACGGTACAAAAAATTTCTCTCAAGAAATGCAAACATTTTATTTATCACGTATTATGACCTTATGATATATTACGTTATATCAAAGCGATTAGGCATCAATGTCCTCTTATGTACGCGCCCATGTTTTAGGCAGTCTGTATCTTACCAAATTTTATACTTTTAATTGCAAAGATTTATTTAAAAAACAACAACAACAACAGTAACAAGATTTGTAATATGACAACGGAAGTAAGTTGTATTGCAATTGGCAGGATGAAAGTTTTTTTGTATTTATATTTTTAATTTGAGAAATTTTTAAATTTTTAAATGTACTTATTTTTATTTATTGTATTTTTTTTAATTGCTTTTATTTTGCGTGATATTTGTTATCGAAAAATTTAAATAAATTTCATGTGAAAATATTGTAGTTTCATAAAAGGAAAAGAGTTAAGCAACAAACTTGCCCAGCATAAACACATTTGCAGAGATACTCGTACTTGTACTAAAAACGAGTTCGTGTCTTGAGTCTTTTGAGTTTCGCGTTGTAACATTTAAATTAATTTTTTTATCTTTAACGGTATGACTGATGCTTCCATAAACATTAAAATATTTACGTGTGGATACGTACAAGTGTCTTTATCTTAAGCTAGCTGATTTGTTGTTATTTTTATTGCTTTTGCTACCTGACATGAGGTCAATCATCGTCACAAATTGAACACGTTACTATTTTGTGAAAACTTTGCTTAGAGAATATGGTTCAAAGAAGGTATGTACAATGGCCATTTGGTTAGTTTGATATGCCAAGATAATTAGTGTAAAATATGGTACACAGACACAGATTTGTGAACTATATGAACCGAAAAATAATTAAACATATACCACATTAAAATTTTACATGTATAAAATAAATGGAACATATGTAAAAAGTACGGAAAAAATTATTTTAACAAATTATTTCAAAATACTTTAATGAACCTATAAAAATATTACAACGTTTTTAATATTAATGGAATGTATGCCATAAAGTCTCTTGCAAAAATAAAATCTAAAATGTTACTAACCTACTAAAAATTATTGACCATCAAAATTCTTGAAATAACTTTTTGAATTATTACACATAGCATTTTAGATAATACTCTTTTTATGAAGTTAGATAATGAACATACAAAAATATATTATAATTATCCTGCATACTAAATATTTACAATACTAAATATTTGTTATATAGTTATTATATATTAATAATATGAGCAAAATGTAAAAAAGTTATATAAAATAAACCGTTTAGTACTACTTAAACCGAAATATTCCTAATAAAAATTCATTTTGTTGATTATCGATTATAACTGAATTGTAAATAATTTTAGCTATAAACTTGTAAAATAAATATTACATAATTATAAATATTAATTTCTAAAGATTCCTTTCTAAAAAGGATCTAAAAACTTTATCCAAATCTTATTGTAAAGTTTGACAATAATCTTATTCTGTGTGCTAGTTAGATTAGGAAACTTACTTCAGGAAGGGCACTTCTAGCACTTATAAGTATTATTGATCCTTTTCAATAAACCAATAATCGAAATAATTTGAAAAATATAATGTGAAGTCATTTTTTATATACAAGAATTATTGTATATCGTGCACTTATATAAAAATCAGAGAAAGTAATAACAAACACGAACATGTGGTTGAAATACAAATTTTAACACATAACCTAAGGAATCTAGTTTTGTGAAAGAATTTCAAATATGTTTTCTTTTTACAAATGACTCCAAAATTAGCTCCACAGATTCTAACATCATAAAATTTGTAAGAAACTCTCAAGCATATTTCAAACGCAATTACTGGTCATAGTAAAAGTTTAGCATATTATCAGTAGCTATCTAAGACAGAGCAAGAATACAGATGTATGATGTGTTAGTTAAAAATCACTTATAAAGCTTACATCTACTATTATTTTACTACTACTGACATTTAGAATTAGCATATATGGGAACACTTCAAGATATGCCATGAATTAATAGATGAATTAAGCAGGGAAGACTAAATTCTGGATATCAAACTTTCGTTTTAGGTGAGGAAACTTTAAGCAAAAGTGCCATCCACAATGACAGTTAATGAATAAGTAACCTCAAGATTTACTGTCTCGAAAAACTATAGAATAACCTACAACGTGGATGACGTTGGGTATAAAGCAAAAAATATCAGGGCTTTAAAAGTCACATTCAAAACAATTCAAATACTTCGCTATTCTATTTTAACCAAAAATTTATGCTTATGGTTACATTAGAAACCATATCTAATTATAATTAGTTGGTAATGGACTACGAGTTATTTGAGAACATATATGCATATATACCAGATATAAGTTTTAAGTTCAAAATAGAGTTTAATCTGAAATCGAAAATCGTATTTGTTTATATAATATATAGTTTTATATATCTCATCAATTCTTAAACACAGATGCGAGCTATAGACTATTAAATCGCATAAAATAAATTAGCTATCAACATATGAAAAACAAGAGTTTTTGAATACACACCGCTCAGTGCTAGTATTATTCAGTCAAATGACTGAATTTGGTAAAGTTTATCATATGAAAGAACTAATATGTAATAAAATTTTAGCTTTTGAGG